CTGCTGTGGCTGCCATGTCGAGTACTCGAACAATACGCATTAAGGCGCTAAATATTACGTATCATTTTTCATTAAATTTCATTTGATGCGTATGCGTTAAATTCACATATATACACACATTCGCACATTACTTAAAGTCAATGACTGCTTAATTTAATTTGTTTAGAAATCAATGTTCAATGGCCGCACGTCTGGGTGAATCTCTTGAACTTCTTCGCTTGACCCCCAGCGGGAATTTCGAGCACACTGTGAAAACATTTTCGTTTAGGCTATTTTCTTCGCACTGCCCGCCAAAACGAAAAGGGTTTGTTTATTTCTGGCCGTGGCCAATCAATCAAATTGCTGCCAGAGCATGCCAACAACAAAATTCTTGAGGCATGTCACTAGCCACAAAAGTGGTGAAAGAAGAAGCAGCAGGGGAGAGAGAGAGAGAGAGAGAGAGAAGCGCACATTAGACGAAAGTATCGCATGATTGCGTTCCCAGCCAAAGGGGCGCTTCATTAGCGCAACTTTCATGTCGGTTCTGGTTACATAATGAACGCCAAGCGCTAATGAAATATAAATTTAACAAAAAACAAAAATACTTTCTAGCCTTAAATTCGACTGACCTTAACATTTTTTCTGGGGCCCGAGCCACATTTGGCAAATGATTTGGCATATTTCTGAGGGCAGACAAAACCTGTTGCAGCTAACTAAATTGACGACTGCGTGGTAGTCATTTGCCAAATGTGATGGAGCTCAATGCAAACGCCCACGCACACACACACACACTCACTCATTTTTGAGCCGTCAACTAGTCACTTTGTGTAGCTGCTGCCCACATTTGTCGCATGTAAACAAATCAGCTATACATAAATACAAGTGCTCGCAGCTTCAACTAGGCAGCTGCTGTTGCCTTTTAACTGCCCAAAAGCGCAAAAGCACACGTGCTGTCTGTTTACAACAACAACAACTACTACGGCATAGCAAAATCTCGTGACGCATTCGCATTGCATTTGAACTCTGCTCAAACAATGACAACGTTGGGTAAACGAACTGAAAACTATTTGCAGTCGGCAGCCGGCAAATATTAAGTGAAAAAGTGGCCATCATAACGTGAGCGACGACAACGGCAGCCAATGACCGAGGCATGTTGCAGTCACAACAACAACAACAACGACAACGTTTGTGGCAGCGCATTAGAATTTCCAAAGGGGCCCACTTCACACCCATTTAAAGTAAATTTACATGTCTAAATAATTAATATGCAAGCACTGTGTCTGTGTCTATGACTACAATGCTAACTGTCTGACTGTTTGTCTTCATTGTTAATATGAAAAATTCTTTATTGATTCTCGTAAACAGCTAAAATACTCGCGCCAGACTTTCATTCATAAAACCGCGAAGCGCTTAATATGCGGCCAGTGTAGTTTGGTTTATTAATAATACATTTTTTTATCCTAGGCCTGCGCATAGAAAGTTCTTTTCGAAAGTCGGCTTGAAATTCAAAAGACTCAGGAAACGAACTGGCGGGCGCATCATGCAACATTAAAACATTTTTGTTAGGCTGACGATTTCGTTGATTTTTCACAGTTGCCCAGCATTGAATTGCGAAATAGCATGCTTTCTATTTCGATAATCAACAATTTTGAAATATTTCAAAGAGCGAAAGCAATTTTTTTATGGCTTGCAGCGAGACAAAATGTCAGCAGATGCTGCGACCGATGTTAATGAACCGCGCGTTTGTTGCGGAAAAGCGCCAACATTTTATAATTGAAATTAAGTTTTGCTGACGATTTTATTAACGCAGCAATGTGCAATCCATTACGTCGATAAACCATTTTAATTGTGAAAGTTCAGCAAACGGCAATTCACATACAAATTGGGTAGTTTGTCTGAGGTTTAGCAGATATGTTTGGCAATAAGGCCAGTAGTTATATACAGATTAATTGGCGTTATTTAAATAATGCCAATTTGGCTGCTGGCAGCCATCAAAGACAAAGGTTATTGTTATTACGTTTATACATTTTTTTTTGTGAAAGTCGTTGATTTTTGTGCGTGTGCGCTAAAGAGCTAAATAAAAATCGAGAAAAAATTTGAAAGTGAATGCGACGACGACTCGCAATGACTCTGAGAAATGCACAATCGTTTTTTTTTTTTCGTTTTTTTCGTTCGTATTTTAATTCCTGCAGTCAACAGTGAAATATAACAGTAAAATCGCTTGAAATTATGCAGACAAATCAACAAAGTCAACACACACAGAAAAGCAGCTGATGATGACTTCATCACACATCGCGATGAAGTGCCCAACACTCAATCCCAACGGCTCTTTCGCTACCTCCTCTGTTTACAGAAGCCCCAGCAACAACAACAGAATCAGAACTCCGTAAGCAAAAACACAGGTTGCATTTTTGCCTTAGCTGTACCTCTCACAGAAATATGGCAACATGCCAATGCCTCCATCCGCTATGAGTATGCAGGATATTTGAGCACCACTTAGCAGCCATACTCCAGCCTCAGCGAGGTTATCTGAGAATTTTTCTCGGCCCCATTCAGGGTGTCATATACAATTTTTGATATGTCTGCATTGTCAGATATACAGAAATGTTCCAAGAAGAAACTGCAGTAAAGGAACTTTAATTTGGCATGCCACATAAAATGCGCACAAAAATTTCCGGGAAACATTATTGGCAGACGCTGGCCGTAATATATAATCAAATGTTTCCACTTGTTCAGAAATGGCCAAATGAGCTGTAAGTTGGGCCCTAATTTGGCAAGTCTCAAGAGAAATACTCTTTCCAGAAGAAAGTCACAAGACTCTATTTTCAATAATTAATTTAAATTAATAGATATTTTTAGCGCTCCCATTGCCCAACTGTTGCCTAGCAGTTGCGCTGGTAGGCCATAGTAAAGTCAGCTATGCCGCTTTTAGGGTATGTTAACATCTATTCTATAAGCAATTGTTCATATCATTAGCAAGCAATACACGTAATTGTTCGTTGGGCACAAACTAGAACACGTCTGGCTGGAGTGCTTGTACACGGCATACGTGCCATGTCAGAACAACCGAAGGGGAGTAGACACTGTGTTCTATATATTAAAGTGGTTGTAAGTTGCCTCAGATGTATAAATAAAAATAGTCTGGACGAGCTGCGTCCTACTATATGGCAGCAATAGCAATGGAAGCCAAAATTGAAAGGTGCAAAGCAAAATGCAGCTCAATAAACTAGGCGCAGATGCAGATGCTGAGATGGAGACAAGCGAACGGTGTAAAAAATTGTCAGACAGTCGTACAATTTAACGGCTTTTGTTGCATAAATCCAGCAGGCAACATTTGTTATGCGATTGCAATCTATCGCACAAAATGCCGCCGATTGTTGACAATACGAATCGAGTATTCGTATGAGTGTGAGTAGAAGTATGAGTGCGAATACGAGTACGAGTATGAGTAGAAATACTATTCCAAATGGCAACAGCTGGCTGCAATTGCGCAAAAGGCGTTGATAATTTATGGATGGCGGTAAGAGCACAGCTAAGCACAGCTCAGCACAACACAGCATCCCCCAAAGTCGGCACTGTCAATCAGTCAATCGGGCACTCAGGCATTTCGGCAAAAGAAAGCTGACAGACAATTATAGACACTAATAATAATGATAATAGCAACCACAGCGGCAAACAAAGCGTATTAATATGACAACAGGTTAGCGAACCTTACCACATTTGCATACATATATTTTTATTAAAGGGAAAGAGAGAGAGTCAGAAAGAGAGAGAGAGAAGAGCGAGAGAAAGAGAGAAAATAGCAAGAGAGATAGAGAGAGAGAGAGAGAGAGAGAGAGAGAGAGCAAATAGCGAGAGAGATAGAGAGAGAGAGAGTGAGAAAAGAGCGAGAGAGAGAGAGAGAGAGAGAAATGGCATAAAAGAGCGCGGCTAAAAAGATTGCCGCTACGCGCGTCTGTCGATCGGCCAGATTCCAAGCCCCAAAACACACCAAGAGGTGTTTATTATGCAATGAGCGTTTTTTTCATCAACTTGACAAACTGAGCCGTGAAAACAAACGACTTGGCTCCACGTTTTGCTTTGTTTTACCATTGTGCTTTATTATTTTCTCTTTGTCTCCATGTCTCTGCCTACAGGTGATTTTCATTTGTCTCCGGCGTTTCGGTATCGGTATCTGTATCTTCAGTGCGTAGCCTGAGAGCCAGTCCAAAACGACAACCAATTCAAAAAATATTGCATGTTTTACATAAATTCTGTTGGCTGGCCATAAAAATGCCTAAGTCACATAATGCACACTGATTCTAAATGAGACGTAAAAGTTAATTCTTGGCAGAAAGTCCTATTTTTAACCGTTCCCACTTTTGTTCAATTCTAATTGTTTCAAAAAGAAACCGATAATTTACTATGTCGAGCCCATTTCTCTTTTTCTGTTTCATTTTCACTGTTCCAAAAATGCTTCAATAATTTACTGTTTAGTTCTCACTGCCCCGTTTTGCTTCATTCCCACTGTCCACTCTTTCCTTTTAAAGCCTTTACTGTTTCGTATTTCATACATAACAAGAATATTCATATTTACTTTGAATACATCGCCAGAAATGCAGCAAAACAGCTGGTCGAAATGCCAATAGCAGCAGGTTGTATTGTGCAGTCGGCAGGTTCAACTGCGGCAGAAGTTCAGAGCTTTATTGGGTAAGAGCAGCTCCCACAAAGTTTACACAGCTGAGGCCGCCTGGGGATGACTTGTAAAAAGGAAGTCGGGTCAAAAACAATATCTGTTAATAATGTGCTTGGGTGCGTTGAACCTTGCCGTTGTTTGGTTTGCAATTTGACGCTGCACAGTTTGAGGCCTGTCAGCACCAAAAGATCTTTACCCGAAAAAGAATTTTTGACGTCCGTAAATGTACAGTTAGACGGTTAAATATACTTTTCACAAATGGGCGGCACACTTGAAAGCTAAATACATAATATCGCCAACATATTCACAGCATTTTTTAAAACTTACTCGTCGTGTATCTTTGCAGACACTCACCCAAGAAGCGCCTGGACAAAAATAAATAAATAAAAAAAAAATGGTATCGCGAAGAAAAATATTATCACGTTCGCGGGATGATCTAAACCTGGATCAGACGTTTACGCAACAGGAGGAGGAGGAGGATGTTTGGTATCAAAAAGATAAACTCTACAAGGTAAGTTGCTGAGCACAGATGATCTAATGAGCCGTTCGATGCGGCAACAATAATTAAATGCAATTCATTAGCATAACAAAGAGATGGATAGATATGTTGAATGTTAGTTAGAAGTAGAAGCTACCGAAAGAGGCAAATAGAGGCCATGGCATGAACACGACTTGAACAACTGACAGCTCAAGAGTTTGGACTTCCGCTTGGCAAGTTGCTTGGTCTTCTATGATTTGTGGCCATTCTCTACTGTGGCTTCTATTCTCGACACGTGCAGCGGCCGCATTGAGGTCAGCGTCAGCATAAAACGCACTAAACCTTAGACGCAGGCACTGTTTGCTGCAGTTGTTGTTGTTGTATTGACCAATTGCATTAATTACCGTTAGGCCATCGCATTGCGTTGTGCATTTTTAATTTGCCTATGGCCATTTTTAAGTTGCCGCAACAAAAACAACAGCATCAGCTAAAAGCAACAACTAACAGCAAAAACAACACCAAACAAATGCAAACGTAACCCTAATGTACAAGCCCAGCACGAGCTTGACTTAAGCTGAGTGTGTGTTGCATGTGCGTGTGTGCGTGTGTGCGTGTGTGTGTCGTCTGTCTGTGTGTGGTCATTTCATTGATTTCGGCCTTTAAACAACAAAACAGACAATAAAATCAACGCTATATAGCTCCATCTCACTCTTGTCACGTTTATGCGGAGCATAGCATGATTTATCTATCATGAATTCATAGTGCATAAGTATGTTAGCATATCAGCTGACATATCCAAGCACACTCTTGATTAATTAATTAATTAATGCATGACTTAATTAATATTACAACATTCGTTTTACTTTATCCTAAATGGTTTTAGTTACTTAATTACTTATAGTCTAGCCTACTATCTAATCAAAATATTATAAAATATGACATGATTTATCACATCAAACTCTATATAAATATATAGTAAAAAGTTCTGAAGGAAAATAAGGTAGTTTCATCAGGCATTGGGTAAAATAATGTATTTAATAAAACTTTAGACATTTGGATTTGTTTCAGCCATATATTAAGAGTGAAATAATAGTTAAATAAGTAAATTGGACTGCACATGCTCGTAGATAAAAAGTGAACTATTTATTATACAAAACAAAAGTTAATATTTTCATAAAATTATGCAAAAAACTTGTTTAATTCAGTGGAAATTAGCCATAACAAGCAAAACTTGAGATAATAATACATATATTAAAACAAAAATACATTTAAACGCAAAACCAAATTCATCGATTATCATAACTAAAAGATACGTTTTTTATATTGCTTTATATTTAATTTTATATGTATGTAAGTCCCGAGTTCCTTAAAGATTTAAGCAAGGGAGGGTCCCATTTGGGGCATTCTTTAAATATTGCTAATAATAACTAATAACTAGTTTAATAACAATTATAATAATACCTTCCGCTCATATTCCTCTTTTTTATCACAATACTTGTCCACGCATAAACGTATAATTTGTCGCCGTTTTTCAGCTTTATTTTTGTCAAATGCCGCTGCTACCTACACACTACTTTTTGGCCATGTTTGCCATTGTTGTCACAAATATTATGTTTATTATTATTTAACTGGGTTAACTGTAGCCAGTGAACAGTTTAAACCAATCAAAGTCGAGCACCTTTTATGCGCCCCTCCATCAAATTTATGGGTCCTAAAAAAATTTGTTTTCAAATGGTTTTGCATACAGCCTCACCCAGTTCATCAAAATGTGACGCAAAAAGTGAAAAGCCGCGCGACACTTTATTTTGTGTGTGTATCATATGCAGCATTTGGCTTAGAAAATGCGAAAGCCCACGCGCTTTTTTTGGCTTGAAAACGCCGCTGCATTGTGCAATTGGCGTGAGCGTCTATATAAATCCGTTTAGCCATACAAAAGGCGTCTAGTTTTTCCCATGAAAATGGATACAAAAAACACAAAAAACACACAAATTATGGCAGCATTTTCCTATTGTAGTTGCTTAGCTTTGAGGGCCCTTTTGAATTGACTAAAGTTTTGTTTGGTTTCTTTTCCATTTTTTTGTTGTCTTTAGCTGCCAGGCATTTATTGAGCAATCTGTTTCTTATTGTTGTTGCTGTTATTGAGCCTATGCTATTTTCAATATTGTTTACAAATTTATTAGCTGGGAACGCAGCCCAAGCCGCAAATGGCTTGCATTTTCTGCATATGCAGCCAAACAAAAGACCCAGGCAACGAACTTGTTTTTGGCCTGGCAAATAGAACGAGCCTGCCGCTGTTTTGTCTACCGTTTCTTCTTTTTCTTCTACTGCTTCTTCTAGCTACTTTTCCACGCAGACGAAAGTGGCATGAAAATGAAAGTTTCATTTTCGGCAAGCTGACAAGTTTTCGCTTCGCCTCGCTCACTCGCCAGTTGTCGTTGTTGCTTTGCCGTTTTTCCACTTCCACTTCCATCCGCCTGTTTGGCCACTCGTTCACCTGGTTTCGGTTTCGCTGGCACGTTCGCCAGAGTTGTACAACAGGATTGTTCGCCGCCGCCAAAAACGCGTTGGCGCAAGCAGGAAAAACTGCACACAGCACACACACACAACACACACTCAACACACACACATGTCACTTAGCGCGTAATTTAACTCTTAAACGTGGGGGCCCACATCTGAATGGAAAATTTGCCGCCTCGCTTTTTCATGCCACTACATCAAGAGTCTCTTTACAGTATGCCTTATAAACAAGCAGTTTTCCTTTTTTCAAGAAAATTACAAAAAAAAAAATAAAAAAAAAAAAATCTAGCGCCTGCCTGCATTGAATTTCCGGCTTGGTGAAAACATATTGATTGATTTGCATTGTGTGCCGCCTGACGGAAGGCACCGCCAGCTATTATTATAGCTCCCAGTTAGCCAGCGTCGAAACTATGCATGAAATTAGCATGAATTTGCTTAGCCAAAATGAAGATAAGAAGAAGCTAAGCAAAGACAAACGATCCACTTGATCGCAACGCTAAAACAATATTTATTTTGCCATCGTTTACGGACTTTGAAAATGGGTCAGACGCCATTTGAAGTTCGCACTCGAATTTCAAATAATCAACATCAGTTTCTTTTGGCAATTTCTGTTTTTTTTTTTTTGGCAATTTCTTTTAGCGATTGCAACCTGTCACAGTTAAATAGATTCATCAGCCCATAATAATTCGAAATGATGATTATATATTATATTACAACAAAGATTGCCGCGCGCAGCCACCAGCTAAATTCATTTTATTAAATGTCAACTTTGAGAGCTCGGCGCATCCGTTGGCAGCCTCTCCGACTGCACAGCGCGGTTGTGGTAAAGTCGTGACTGCAAAAGTTCAACAACATTTTACACAAAAAGTGCAAACTTAATAAACTTAAAAAAGATTCTCAAGAGTGCCACCAAACTGACGACCTGCACAAACTTCCGTGCCGATTGCACTTGTGCACGTGTTTTTCTTGATGTTGTTGTCGCTGTTATTTCATTTTTTGCTGCTGCCGGGTGTCAATTATAGAACTTATTAAACCGCATCACAGGCGCAGCGTTAGACAAGCTGCTTTAATTACAACTTAATGGCACTTGTGCCCTTTAAAAAGAAGCAAAGCACACAAAACACAACTAAATTAAAGTTTGTGCAACATTTATGACATGCTCTTGAAGGCGTGGTAAAACACATCAACCTAAAAGTTAGGCTCGTATTCGTTCAGTCATTAAAAGGTCGGCAGACGGAAATCTTAATTGAAAAAAAATCCCCCTTGCGTTTTTTTGCAGATATGCGTTGAGAATTGTGAAGCTGAGTTCAGTCTAATTATCTTGAGCTTATAAATATTATTTCAGCCACTTTTAGGAAGACAGATCAAGCATATTTATGCTCAACTTGAAAAAGATACTGATCAACAACTCATTCTTTGTCCGATACTGATGAGAAATACATATTATATGCCCATCTTGAGAAAGATACCAATAAGCTATATACATGGATTTAATAGAACAGAACGATAGCCTGTTCATATAATACATCATACATATTATCAGAATTCCGAAAGATCCTATAAAGCATCGCATCTTTACAGGCCAAGACTGTTGCATTGTTTATGGATAAATTAAATCATATATTAAGTTTTTATTATACCCTTATAGATATAAATCGTAAGACTGTGGGGGCAATGTCTACAAGGGTATTACAATTTTGGAGTGCCGAATATATCCTCACTTTCTCGTTTAGTTCGTAAGTCTATTTTGAAGACATTTCGCATAGTTATAAAAGTTAATGTTCATTTCATTAGATCTTTTCTAATTAACTCTTCACAGACACTGTGAAAGTCACGCTATTTCCATATTTAGCCTGAATTAATCATTTTTGCAGCTCACTTTGCTTTTATTGAGCTGAATTCTAGAATGTAAGCAACTGCTCATTAAACCAACGGAGTTTTTTCTTTAATCTCAACGTTAACGTTTTCTAGTTTAACATTTCATTGCTGTGGCTGTATTTCGCAACAATTATTTTTTGCATATGCTAAAACGCCTCTGTTGTGGACTAACTAAAACGCCTGATTAGCCATTTGCGTCATAGCCAACGGGTAAAAAAATTTATACATATATATATACATATATATAGATATATATATATTGGTTGTTGCTTTAAAATTTCATGCTATACATATGTTCGATAATAATTTGCATAACAAATGTGTGCTTATAAAAACCAGTTCAGTTGCTTTTTAAGAATCGATTGGCATTTTGGCATATATATACATGTGGCGTATATCAAAGCTGTGCTAATTTTCAGGCACTGCAAATATTACGTATACATAGCAAACACGCGCCAGTGCCGTGCAACATGCCCAGCCCAGGTGAAGCGGGCTAATTAAAATCAATTGCAATCAACAACAACAATAAAAAGAACTAACATAAACAATCAAGCACAAGCTGAACTTCGACATTTTGAGGTCGTTTCATACAAATTTCTGGTTGCCGAAGATGTCGGCCTAGAGATCTATAATAAAAACAACAATAAGTTGTAACTTGTTTTGGCCACACTTGAGCCTACAAGATTCTTTTGCCAAGCAGCCAAAATAAAACCTGTACAAAGTGAATCTGCTTGAGCGGCTCGAGGAGCTTGAAGAGCAACAGAATCTATGCGAGTTTGAAGTGAAATCAAAAGTGCTGTCGACTCGCACATACAGCAGCAACAAATTAAAGCTAAAGTACGCCACACACACAAACAGATACAAAGCCAAAAGCATACGAAAAGGTTAACAAGTTTTACTACATGATTTATTTGCATTTTTAATGTACGGCGGCCTGGCCCGCTCATGAAGTGGTAGCCAGCTGGATCAGAGAGCTGCCTAAACAACTTTACCGCACGCTCCGCTCTGTACTCCCATATAAACTATAACTTCTCTCCATGTAGAACTAACAGACGTTAGATACATATTTGCCTGCCTGAGTTTTCATATATTTTGAAGGCGGCTCTGAACTCTGCCCGCAAATAAGTATACGAAGCTGTGGGCATGTTGGTTACTGGGCTAATGGCTTTGTTTATGACCCTGTTCTTTGTTCGGGTTAATTGAACTCTTTTTTATGTTGCCTTATCCGTTCGCCTGAGCATATGGGGCCATTAAGCGGCCAGCTGTGCGGCGCTTACAGCCTTGATTTTCTGTTTGCGAGAGCCTCACAAAAAGTACACACACAACTTAAATCAACTGAAGTCATGAACCAGTTCTTTATTAATTTGTGCTCTTTACAGCACTGTTTTATTGTGTGTTCGTATGACAACGCAGAGTGCGCCAACTGGCAACACTTATAACTCCATATTAATTGAAAATGAATAAAAGAACAACTTTTTTTCCTAAGCATTAATCCTTTTTTATAGTTTTTGTTTAAGTTTTTATACTTTTTATTATTTTAATTTTTTTTTTTACCTTCCTGAAAGTTTGGCTAGCATATTAACATTTTTCCGGCCCTAATTCATTCGAACGTTTAACAAATTCATTAGAAAGCCAATTAAATATGTTAAATGCTGAATTCGAACCTTTTTTGCATTTATTAAATTGGGTATACGAAAATAAAGTTTAAAAATAGATGTATTTGTATTTTTTATCTGTTTAAGGCCTATTTCACCAAAACTCGTTATGCGACCTGTCTTTAAATTCACTTCTTCCCAAACACAAGTTTCTGTACTATGGTTTTCTTATATAAGGTAATTTAACTACATTAATAATTTAGACGGATAAGAAAAAAGGGATTTTCTGAATGCCAAAAGATGCCTTTAATATATACGTACGAGACAGAAAGATATAAAATCTAAAAAGGGGCTTTATTTATAAGAAAAAAAAATAAATAAATAACTCTGAATGTAGTTTGATCTTGAACTAATAGATCGTTGTATTTAATTTTATAAATTATATTAATTATTTAAAAAAAAATTATGTGATTACGATTTAAGTATTTATTAAACGGCCCCTTTAGAGACGTACACATATATGTATATACTTATGTATATGCATGCCTGCCTTAATATAATATAACTATATCAAAATGTAAAATATGCGCTGTGCACTTAAGCATGACGCAAGCTCAAGCGAGTTGCATTTTCATTTCTTAGTGCAATCGAAAGCCTTGCAGCACTTTAAATATCTGTACACAGGCGAACACACACACACATGTGTATGTAAGTAGAGATATAAAATAGCAACAAATAAAAGCCGTAAACACCGTTGTCTATAATTGTATATGTCTTGCTGCAACACGACTCGCTGGCGCGCCAGCATTTGTTTCGTGCCAAGCATTTGCTCCGATTTGATTTTAACTTTTATTTAACAAACAACAACAACAAGAGAGTCGCTTGTAATGGCAGCCAGCAACAACAACAACAACAATAAAAGCAATAGTAAAAGTAAAGTGAGTGAAAAACAGCTACGTGAAAAATAAAAGCACAAACGCAAGCGCCCAACAAGGCCGTTCACTTTGGCTGGCAAAAAGTACACATAAACACATACACACACACACACACTATGCTGGAAAGTGAAAATTGCAGGCATTAGTTGCATTTGCAAGAGTTGCAGCCGTTATACATAGATATTTTTCGGTTTTTCTTTTATCTGCAGCAAGTTACTCGCCTAAGTCTTTTGTTTTTTTTGTTTTGCCATTCAGCATGCTCGTCTTTTCTCACTCCCTCTCTTTCTATCTCTTTCTCTCTCTCTCTCGCAGGAACACATACAGGAAGTGCTGGACAAATGGACTCAAATCGATGATGAGATCTGGGCGAAAGTAATTGTCTTTGAGCGCAATCGCCGCGTGGCCAAGGCATACGCACGTGCTCCGGTACTGACCATCAATGGCTCCGATGATGGCTTCGATGGCATGCGGTAAGTATGCAAATAATTGGGCTGAGCTTCTTTTTTTTAATTACCCAGCCGAATATTTAAATATAAAACAAATAAAAAATCCCAGCTTATGCTGCCTTTGAGCTTATGCGTAAATCGGCTGCCCTTGACCCACTGCGAAGCGCAAATCAGCAGGAGATGTATTGTTTTTGTTTTCTTTGCCATAATAAATGATTAAATTACACCAGATGTTGCTCCCAAATGGGCAAAACGAATGAAACTTTGCGCGCCGGCAACAACGCCCATTAAATTGATGGTGCGGCATATTACGATTTAATTGCCAATCCGAACTTGTAATGCCAAAGAGGTTTATCATAGAAAAAACAACCGAAGAAAAAAATAGCTATGTACTTATAAGAGAACCTTCAGCTAAATTGTGGAGCTATGCGAATGCAAATTACGACATTTGTGACCTCACCGCTGGCGGCAATTTGTAGCATGTGAAAATGCCCGAAAATAAAACGAACGTCAACAAGTGAAAATGTTTTAATAATTGCGCGTATTTTTATAAAATGAGCGATTTCCGTTGCGCGCCAATTTGAGCTGTTTGTTTTTATTTTTATTTTTTTGTTTGCTAAGAATTCTAGTTTTTGGCAAGCAGTTGCTCGGTTTTGACTGCAGTTGCTGTTGCTGCATTTGAGGCTAATTAGCATATTCCGTCTCAAAATGATTTCGTCGTTGCGTGCCACAAATTGCAAATGCCAAATGCTTTTGACTCAATTGCCGTGGCCAATTGCCGCACAGCCCACACATTGCAAGCAGCGAGTGCTTCGACTCCCAGCCAAATGTCAAGAAGTCTGCATAGTGAATTGAAGTTTACAAGTATCTCATATAAATGTATATATGTGTATATATATACCTCAATATGAGGCACTTCAATGCGCAGCGAATGCATAATGCATAAATGTGCTGATTAAAAGTGAAGTCAAAAAAACAATTCAAGTTCGTAAAATGTAATTTGGTCAGAAGCAACAACTGCAACAGCAACAGAAACAATATCAGCAACAGCAGCAACAACAGCAGCAATAACTGAGCCCAAAAAAGGGCAACGCTTCCATTTGTGTTGCAGGCCGGCTTCCTTTGTGTACCCCAAAAAACAACAACAACAAAATGAAGATGCGCTGCCAGTAAAATGTCAACGGCAACAATAATACTTAATAATAACAACAAAAAACGAACAACAAACAACAACAATGACTGTGGCGCAAAAATTAAATTAAATAAATTAACGGCTGCCATCGCCTAGTAAATTTGATATTTTTCAGGCGTTAAGAAAACCATGTAAAAGTTGAGAGCGTGTGCGACTGCCACGAAACGGCTGAAGCAAATGTGCAACAATTAAGCAATAGCTGGCATATAAATTCCCTGTAATTAATATAAAGACACTTAAGTAGTTGTAAATAGTACGATTAATTATAATATACAAGAATAATGCTGCCCGATTGATAAAAAGGCCACCCCAGGAACATAGATTCCAACTTCGTGAAAATCGGATGAGATTTGTCCGAATTATGGAGGTAGAACATTTTAAACTATATGCGGTTAACATGGACAAAAAGCCAAACCTTATGCAAATCCAGTTTTAATTAAAAGTGTTATCTAAGACTGTACACGATATTTGAGGGTACCATTTTTAGATTAAGTTTGACCCTTTATGACACTTTATGGGGTCGGAGATTCTGTATTCTGCTTGTCATATATATATGCACAACACTATTTTACTAATTTAAGCTAATCTCAATAGCTAGTGCAAGCGTTTTCTAAGCCTAGAGAACGTTTTATAGAGCCCAACTGAATGCTTTCAATTTTGATCTAGCTGTAAATCTGGCATACACACGCTCAATTGTGTACACATTTCCAATATGTATACAGGGTATTAAAAGTCAAATGAAATTACATATAATAAGGAAAGTCATTCGTTTCGTTCGTGACGAGGTCATCAAAGATCTGCAGATGCAAATTGCAGTTGTCATTTTGCGGCAGAGGATCCTCTTTCTTTTTTTTCCAGTCGTTGTTGTTGTTGCTGCTGTTGCTATTGCAGCTGTTGTCAATATAGTTGCTAATGCTGTTGGCTACTTGTTCATGTCAGTTACAGGTTAAATATGCCCAGCACAGCAGCCGGTGGATTAGTGTAGAGGGGTAAGGCGGCTAAATTGCTTAAAATTGAAACTGATTTCGAGTCGAAAGTGTCAAGTTAATCAATTGGCATGCCGCTGACTTCAAACAACTGAGGGTTTACGTGTGTGTGTTGTTTTTGTTGTGTGTGGTCTGCCTAGCCGTTGTCTGTTGCCCAGCTCTTGTTGTTTAATTAGCTGCAATTGCTGCTGCTGTCAGCCCTTGTTAGCGTTTAAGTATTTCCTATTTCTTTTCTGCATTTTTTAGCCATTTGCTGCTTGTCAGCTTAAAAATAGGCAGCCCATTTGAATGCTACATAGATCTGTTTATCATGTGCATGGCGCATTTCATTCCACACGCAACGTTTTTCACGCGAAATCTGGCTAAATGCAAATGAAAGCGAATGTAGTTCTTTCAGCAGAGCCTCAAAGACCACTTGTGAGCTTTGGCTTAGCGATCAAAGGCGTGCTTGAATGCTTCAATTTAAGCTGAAAATGAGTTTTTATAGTTTTTTTTTATTGAGCATTCTTAAACGCAAGCCCGACTTTTAACTATTAAACCTGTTCCGGTCAGACTTTCACTTTGAAGCAGCTATCAAAATTTCCTGAACTATGTATGTTAATGCGTATTGAACGTGTTTATATGTTGCTTGTGGCCAGATTTTGATTGTTCACATATAATTAGTCATGCTTGGACAAGAAAAACTAGTATTTAACATCGTAGAGCAGCTGGAATTAAAAATATATATGCAGCATAGCCCAGACTGAAAAGGTTTTTTTAGGAATTCCTTTACTATAAATCGAATCTTAGGCTAAACAGCGGAAATACCAAACTTGACATATATCTTCTAAAATAGAATATATATATGCATTTGATGTTGGAAGAACGGGGTTCAGGGTATCCCCTAGTGGGGAGCTCCCGACTAGAACCTCTTACTTGTTATATATAACTTTGATCCCGAAATGTAGCCCGCATTTTGTAAGTGAAAATATCTAAGGCTGAAAATGTTTACAATACAGCGGGCAGTTATATTCTTAATGATATTTTATTTTGTTTAAATTTAAAACATATAAAACCTTAAGCCAAGGCCGGGTCTTCAAGGTGAAGAAACCCATAAACTACCGAACAGATTCTTTGAGAAATATTTTATCAACTATGAAAAATAACCCACCCGCTGTAAGGGTATCTCAGCTTCGGTGTCTGTATTTTGCCTAGCTCTGACGTGTTGTATGCTGCCGATTGGCAATTTTCACACCTAGGTATCTATAGCTTTGCGTTGCATGTAAATTAATTAATTAGACTGCGGAGGCGTCGCAGCCGATGCTGAGGACCACACAATTGTTGCAGCAACAGCAGCAACAACAGTTGCAGCTGCAACGCAGTATTTTTTTTGTATTCGCTACAAGCGCATTTAATTAATGGGCAAACCCTTAAGCACTCAGGGCCAGACCACTTACATGTCTGCCATTATCTTTCGCAACAATTGAAATGGCGCCAATATAAATTTTGCTGCTTATGACAGTTAGCGGCTGCTGTTGCTGTTGCGTGGGCGTTGCCAATCAAATTTGCATGTCGCGGGCAACAGTTGAAATCAAATCAAAATACAACTAGCGGCAATTGCTGGCGCAGCGTGATATAAACAGGGCACTGCCGGCCGTTTGATTACAACATTTTTCATTTCGTGCGAATCAAAAATGAGGCAAAAAAGGCGCGACTCGCGCCTGTCCAAGGCCATGCTTTAATCAACAGACAGTTGTTTTTATTTTGCTTGTCTACAATAGAAGCCGGATAGACTGTAACATGAAGCCAAAACGTTTCTCGGGCACACGTGCCAATTTTTTTTTTGCCAAGAACCGCAGCGATTCGTGGCCTTCGCAGCGTTTAAGGTGCGACTAGAATTCAATTATTTGGAGCAAATTATAACAATGTAGACTGGCAGTTAGTTGGCAAGCTAACAAGGTTCGTTGCCAGAGTCTTTTGTGCATCTGCTAGCTCAACAGACGCGTTCGTTGCCTAAATCTTTTGTTTTTATTGATATCATTTAAAATGTTGCTCTGCCTGCTGCGTTTTATATTAAGCCATGCATTATTTTTAGCTCGACCGGTTGTTGCTGTTATTTTGCTGTTTTTATTATTATTTTTTACTTGTGCCTCTCCATGCAAAACTAGCCGCAGGTCAAAGCGTTGCCAGCGCCAGTTTTGGAGCGCACCGAAACCAGTCGCCGTTAACTGCATTGTTGCTGCCGCTTCCTTGAAGAAGAAGCAGCAGCAACAACAGCTCCCCCCTGTTGCAAGGTTTGACCCAGTGCACACGTTTAACTTGAACTCAAAAAAACCGCTACAGCTTGGACTCTCGCTTTCATTGGCAGCCGCAAAAATGCAGCACATAACGCAGACAGTTGTTGCCTGGCTGCTGCCTTTGTGCCTTTCGCATTTTTAGCTCATTTAGGCGTGTCAGGTCCAGTTTTTTATATGCATTTTATTTTTGTTTTTATAGTGGACGACCTTGCAAGCGATATGTATGCATGTGGATATAACTAGCTGCATGTTGGCCACATCGAAGTGAATGCAACTGTTGTGTCAGGCCATGAATTGGTAACTAAATGTGTGGCTGAATGATTGGCAGAGTAGGTTGGACTGTTTCTGGGGTTGGGCCTGGGGTTCTGTTTTTTATTTTTTTTTTCGTGATATAGGTTCAACTGAAGCGCCTTGGCTTGCATTCAATTTTAATAATGCCAAAACTAAACGAAGCATTTAAAGTGGAAGCAAACACAAAAGAACTGCAAATCCGCTTCGTTTAGGGGCAACCTTGAAAGGCACATACATCAGCTAGCAGCGGCGGCGGCAGCACTAGTCCATGTCGATTTCATTTCATGGAAAACTTTGACACACATTTCAACGGTTTTTACAAGCATTTAGCCAATAAATCAACGCCAAGCAGCCGCAACGTCAACGTCGACGCCGGCAGATGTTACGCGCAGAACTAAAGCACATGGCCAAATGCCAACGGCAAATGCTGCCGTTCTTCTAGCTGCTGCTGCTGTCTGGCAGCGCTTCATTATACAAATTAACATAAAAAATAATAGTGACAGAGCGGCGTCAGGTGAGCTTGGCAGCAGTAGCAGCGACAGGAGCAGTGTAGATAACAACAACAATGATCAGCAGCGGCAGCAACAGTTGCTGTGGCCTTTTTGCGAACGACAATTACAATTAGCTTCGTTTCATTGTTTGTGCTGCTGCTGCTGGGGCTGGCGGCTTCCTCTGCAGCTTCTTGTTAGCATTTTAGCCGACATTTGCGGCGACCTTAAACACAAACAGCTAAGTGCGGCGGCTGCTCTTCCTGCAGCTAAGCATAAATATTTGAGTGTGCAATTGACTTGACAGTTTCTTAAAGGGAGTTTTGGGCAAGGCTAATCAAAACGAAAGACCTAGGCAACAAACTTGCCGTGAGTCAGCGGCGCGTACGGCAATTAAACAGACCGTATGAAATGTTTATTATAAATTGTTATGCTGCAGCTGCAGCTGCCACACATTGCGGCAAGCACATAAATCACTGTCAATGTGAATTTGTGGCAGGCGAATGCACAGTTATGCTGGGCTGGTGCTTTGGCCGTGTTTTGTCAAAACGTTTAATGTAACAAAATTTGTGCAGCAGGCTCTGTGTCTGTGACTCATACAACACTCGACACGAATGCTCCACTTAAAGTGAACGTGCCACAACAAAGTGCTTGGGCCCATACTGATTTTTGGTTTTTTTATTTTCCTTTTATTTTTGCCTAATGCGGCAGATAATTGATTTGCAATTAATAAAGTGTTGTGTGCCTATTATTATTTATATATATAAAAGTGTTTTTTTTTTTTTTTTGCAGCATTGGCTTGTGCGGCTTTGACAATCCCATGCGAGATCAGAAGACGGACGAAATGAAGCGCGTCATCGGCCAGGTAAGCTGGTTAACTGAAGTTTATGGCTCATTAAATTGAGCGACACAGATTTTGTCGTTGTTGTTGTTGCTTTTAAAGAGCTTACGCTACTAATTTATTTGCATAAAAACTGATAAAAAAAATAAACAGATTTGACGGCGCCTTACATGAAACGGCCATTAACGCGGCCAAATGTCCAAAATACAGCTAAAATTGAAGTACACATAAAACACATTTTTTTGTACACCTGCAGGGCGTCAAGATCAAAATGGACGATGCTGGCAATATACTCGTGCGTCGCTATGCCAAGAGCAACGTTTTTGTTAAGAGCACCGCCAGCAATCCCAACGAGGAGACCTCAATTGGTGCCGAAATCTTAAAGCTGCCAAATCAGGCGCTCGAAAGCGAAAAAATAGTCAAGGCAAGTTATGCTATGCTATAGAAATCTAATCGTATATAGTTAATGCACTCGGCTTACCTATATGCAAATTATTTTATTGTTTACTAATTCGTTTATTTTTCTTATTCACTTTGTCGCCTACAGCTGTTCGATATGAAGAAGTTCCAGTCGAACGTAAATCGTGAATTGCGCCGTGCCTATCCAGATCGTCGGCGCTTGGAGACGCAATGCCTATCGGCAGTGGCCTTTGTCAAATCAGAGAATGACATTTTGGAGTGCCCCATTTGGGTGCTCATTGTGAATGTGGTAGCCATGGATATGCTAAAGAGCAAGCTGCCGCCAGGTGAGTCAAGGCGCAAGTCCAACTGTCTGTATGGGTTTTTATGTGTGTGTCTCTCTGTCTCTCTCTCTCTCTCTCTCTCTCTCTCTGTCTTCAATTCAGTTATTGTTTACTAAAATCAAGTTACTAAAAACTCAATATTAATAGGGATAGTATTAAGGTGGATTAGACATTTGTCCCTAATATTAGAAAACTAATATGGTAATAAGCCTCTCTAGAGATTTATCACTGATATTAGCTGTAAGTATTTGATAACTTTAGCGAAACTTGATATCGGCTCGTCCATCGTTTAGGGGCAAAATCTTAATACTATCTGATTTATGAACAAAAACTACAGAGAAGCATATACATAGACATATTCTCTATACTTGTAGGAGATTTTTCGCTCAGATTTCATATATATACATATGAATATGTACATACAAAGATATCTTCTCTATATTTGTAGAAGAGCTTACGTTCTGATTCCATCCGCCAGCTCTAGAAATACAAAGTAGATGCAGTTCAACAGTTGCAGCAGAAATAGCCTATTGTTCCATGAGTGTGTGTGTACATGTGTGTGAGTGTGTTTGTGTGTGCATGTGTGTGCCACTGCGTACGTGCGTTCGTGTGTATGTGTATGTTGTAATTGTGGTCCATTTGCCTGGCAGTTATTGATGTATTGCAGCAACAATTGCTTTGACATACACTTCTCTGTTCTTCTGCTTCTTCCACACAGTGCAACGTCCCATTGTGGACATCAAGAATCGCCCGCGAATACCCATACCAGATGAGGATCCCTACAGCGTGGCCGGTACCGGCAGCAACGGCAGCTCGGGCAGTTCTGGCTTTGGCAGCGGCCACCAGCAGCAGCAACTGCAGCAACTGGGCAAGCATTTAAATAATGGCAGCAGCAGCGGTCATGTGGCTGCCACACGTGAGCAACTGCTATTGCAGACGCAACAATTGGCGCATAAGCGCAGCGAGAAGCCACCCAAATTGCCGCCCAGGGATAATGTCTATGCGCACGATCTGATTCCAAAGGTGAGTGACAAATTAGCACCAAATTGTTGCTCAATTTTTTTATAGTCAACAAAATTTAAAAAAGTAAGAGGTTCTAGTCGAGAGCTCACGACTAGGAGATGCCCTGAACCCTCTTCTACCAACACCAAATTCAACGCGCGCTACACTCTCGTTTGCTTTAGCAGTAATAAAAATAAATTATAACAATACTATACTATTCTATAAGCTAAATGTCACGTTTGGTAACTCGAGCTCTTATAACTTACGAGATTTAATAAAAAACAGCATGTCGATATCGAGTTTTATCGATTGCTTGTAAGCGGGTCAAGTAATCGGCACTAGGAGGACCTCCATTTAATTTCAAGTCTCTAACTCTAATATTTTCTGAGATGCTTGCGTTAATACATATGGACGGACAGACATACGGGCAGACATGCAGACAGATCTACTCGACTGTTAATGCTTATCAAGAGTATATTTACTTTATAGGGTCGGAGATGTTTCCTAATGTCTGTTTCAAACATTTTCTCAAATACATTACACCCCTTCTACCCATTTTTAATGGGTTCAGGGTATAAAATAAATATGTACATATATATATATGTATATATATATATATATATATATATATATATATGGGCAAGAAGTGTGGCAACTAGTCCAGCAATAACATCGTAACGGACGGCCTGGCTATGCTTGGCTACGTGCGCAACGCGAGCACTTGCAAAATGGTTTACGGCTCTGCCGCTGGCTCGGGCTCTGCCCCTGGCTCAGACTCACACTCTGTCTCTGGCTCTGGTTTTGAACCCTCGTCGAGTTCTGTCAGCACAGACACAAAGTAGCTAAAAATACCAGGCCACTTGCTGCGGCGACGATTTCGCTTTTCGACCGTCGCATCGTTGAGCTTCACCAAGCATTTGGCTTGCATTCAATAATATTCGAATTTCAACAGCAACAACAATAACAAATAACTGCAAACGAATCGCGTGTAATTAATATGCACGGAATGTTGCCAATGAGCCCAACGACCGATGGCTAACGCTATGGGCCACTGTCTGCACAGTTATGGCTAACTGTAAGCGCACCCATACAGACAAACACACATATTTATATACATATAAATACATATATTGTACATATATTGTACATATATTGTATATATATATATATATACAGAGTGTGCAGCGCCTTTGCTGGCGCACCTTGCGCAAAGTGTAGCCAGCGCGTTTGTTGCCTAAGTCTTTTTTCGGGTTTTTTTTTGCATTTACATTTTTAACTAAATATTTTAAAATGAATGACTTGTTGTGTATGTGTGTGTGTGCCAAATTCAACAATTTAGCAAACTATACACAGCAATTGTTATTTGCTAATAACTATAATTAATTTTAATTTTAATTTTAAGACTGAGAAGACATAAGAGAACATTATTTCTAGCTATTTTTTATATATTCTTATTGATACGAAAATTAAGTGAATACTTAAAATGTTTACTATATAGAAGCTTGAAATAAATACATTTAAGCTTCTAATAAAAACTTGAGAAAAACAGTTAAGCTGAAATTACAAAGTGATATATAAACAAAATAATTAATACATATTTAAACCTCTCTTTCCCTAACAGCCGGACTACGATGACATTGATTTGGAGACCAGAATCAAACTATCGCGCGGCAAGTCCGACAAAGGCAAAGACAACAAGAAATATGGTAAAACACTTAACTTAAAACTTAACCCTCTAAGCATGTGGAAGCAGAAATAAACACAAGTTCGCACTACTATTTTAGATGATCCTTATTACTGTGGCTTGCGTGCACGCGTGCCCAACTTTGTCAAGGCCTCCAAGTCCAGCGCCAAGGATCAACGCGACGGCAATGGCAACAACATAATCAGCAACATGAACGGCAACGGCAGCAGCAACGGCATCACCACGCTCAGCCAGAAAAAGACTTCGATGATACACAACCATTTGGCCGGCATGCATCCACATGCACAGCACATACAGCAGCAACAGCAGCAACAGTTGATGGCCGCGGCAGCAGCGGCTGCAGCGCATGCCGTGCATCATCAGCCGGCGGGCCATCATCCACACCAGATCTGGCAGACGCGCAGCTATGAGAGTGGCATAGGTATTTATAATAAAATGGGCGGCTATCAAGCACAGCTAGCACCACATCAACTGCAACAACACAATACGCACGCATTGCAAATGCAACAACAACAACAACCACAATCACTGCCAACGGACCTAACAGCAACAACAACTGCAACTGCAACTAGCAAGACACAAAGCAGCGCTCTGGCGCCGACAGTCAAACACCAACAGCTCCACCAGCATCCGCACAAAAAAGCACGTAGCAATAAACAACAACAACAACAGCAGCACCTGCACCCGCACCCTCACTCGCACCTACACCCACACCCAGGACAGGGTCATGTGCACCATCGACACCAGCATCGCCATTGCCATCGGCAGCATCAGCCGCTGGCGAGCTATTATCCAACTGGGCAATACTATGATGATCTGGAGGAGGTGGCGGTGCGTCAGGGAGCTAGACGCCCGTCGATGCGGCGCACTCTGCTGCCGGCCGAGAATGCCTGCAATTGTGTCAGCTGCTATGCGTTGGCGCCGCTCTGTGGCCAGGTGCCGGCACCGCGGCCGCAGCGCAGTCTCAGCCAGCAGCAGTTGCGTCGCCATCAGCGGCTGAGCGGCGGGCTGCTGGACAGGCACGTGGGCGTGTCCAAGTGGTGCAGCGAGAGCGATATCTCGGTGCTGGAGCAGGTGCAGGAGGACGAGCCCAACACAATGACCACAGACGAGCGCTACGAGGACAGCAACGACTACGATGACTTTGACCTGGACTTTGACGACATGGACGAGACCACGGCGAGCGGCTACCCACAGCGCCAGCTGCGACACGGGCAGCAACCGCGTGCGGTGCACAGCAACGAGGAGACGGACATGTATGTGGATCGAGCACAGCTGCGTCAGCTGGCGGCGCCGGCGCTGCTCGCGGCACGGCAAAAATCACAGTCCACGGAGAGCTTCTTCGAGCAGCCCAACGAGGAGGGTTCACTGTACATGTACGGTGGACGCCGGCGCATAGTGGCCAAAGCGCCATCGGTGGTTAACATTTATGAGCGTGTGCCCAACTCCATGGACTCGGACATTGGCTATGGCAAGTTTCAGGCCAGCGGCAGGCGTGCGCAATATTATAATAAGCCCAAGCTGCCAGCGCCAAGTTGGCGGGGCAAACGTCAGCCGACGTTGGCGACACATTTACAAAAAGCTGACAAAAAACCATATGAGAATACTAGCAGCAACAGCAACAACAAGCGACAGCTAACGAACAGCAGCAACAACAATGATGACATCTTGAAAAACAACAAAAAGAATTTCAATAGTAAAAACAAAAGTATAACAGCAGGCACAGCAGCAACAAAGAGCTTAACCACAGCAACAGCAGCAACTGTGACTGCAACAGCAACATCAAAGCAGCCACCACCAACAGCAGCAGCGGCAGCAACGGCAACAGCAACAGCAACAGCACAAACAACAACAAAAGCAGTAGCAACAGCAACAAACACAAACAATGCACAGCCAGCACAAAGAACTGGGCGGACTGCCAGCCGGCTTGACATCAGCGACATGGAATCCATTTATGGCTACCTGAAGCCGCGCAAGCCGCGCAGCCTCAGTCTGAAGAAAATCCAAATACTTGACTATTGAAAATGGAACTATTTCAACTTTTCGTTCCCTTAGCCGAATCAAGGTTATTTTACAGCATTAAATTGGGTTCGATCTGGATATGCGCTGTGTACATATATAAATGCGAAATTGCCTATGGTTATAGATTTTTTTTTATTGGTTGCACCTTATATACCCGGCTATAGCTAAAACCTATACCGATTTTTTATACTAACTTCACTTTAACTTGGACCCTGGACGGCAACAGTTTACCTTTACCGTTAACATTGTACATACACCAAACATCTTACCATTATAGAGCTTTATATAAATATATCTATATATATAAATTAGAATATATTTGCTAATGTCACTTTGTTGCGCTTATTGTAGATTCGGAGCTTGTCGAATCACCTTACAATCACATCTATGGACGCCATTTACCGCTGCCAACTCGCGGCTATGTGCCCACACCACGCATGTTTATTGGGGAATGGGACTGAGAGAAAGATGAGGTGAAGGATACAGACAGGACGATGTATGCATACATATATATATATATATATATATATATGTATATATATCAAATGCTTCACACAATCGCACTATCTAAAACCAAGCGCCAAGACACAAAACATGATTTGGTTTTTTTTTTTTGTATCAACTAAAACAGAAATTATTCAAGTGCAGCAATAATTTAAGTCAGAAAATCACGAACTGTTTCCCAAATTCATTAAGTAATTAATTTAGCAAAATATAATAAAAAAAATAATAATCTTAGGCTAGACTTAAATGTATTCCACACAAAATCCATTATGCATATATGTAAAAATAATATATTCTACTTTTAATAGCTGCGCATAATTGATTTTGTTCTAATATTGAGATTACGACAGCGCACTGGTAACTTTATATATACGCATATATATATACATATTAAAATATATATATATATATATATACAAAAATTGACTTTTTTGCGCAATAACACGCCATTACATTGTATAGTTATTAGTTACGTTTGTTTTGTGTAAATTTAAATGCGTTTCAGTTGTTGCATCGATTCGCAGCCAAAATTCACAAGCCTAGTATATATTTTTGTATTGTCACATACATTGTATTACGTTAAAATCAATACATTTTGAAAATAAATGTATAGGCTGATTTGTCTGTTCTTATCGTAATATGTAATATGTATTCTGTATTGTATATGAGCAACAATAAAAATTATATTCTAGTTAAAGTAAAAACCATGTAAAGAGCATTTCTTCTGTCTAATTTATAATTGTATTTGGGTTTTCAGACTCTAATTGAAAAACTTTGTAATGCATTTAAACTATTGATTTTATAAGCAGACCATATCCATAAGTCGGGTCTATGCGTATTTCACATATAGTAATCGGGATTCCAGTTTGGCGGATGCATATGATCTGGGTTTGGACCCATTGTACCCGGATTACGCGGATTTAATGGATTAAACGGATCAAAGCGCGCCAAGCCTGGATTGGCCGGAAACGCAAATAGATTACCCGAGCCCCGACCCAGTGGATCCAAATCCCCACGACCAATGTCAGGGAAACCAAATGGCCGCGGCTCAAAACCGTGCGGCATGAACGAACTACAATTTTATAATGTTAGTAGCAAAAAAAAAAATTAGATACGTAATAAGAAAACGCTAGCTTTGTAGCTTACCCCGGACGTCTAGGCTCACCAATGCGCAAGGGATCAGTTATGTTTGCCGGTGTTTGCTGGGTTGCTTGTGTCTGAGTAGTTGCTTCGCGTGAGTTTCCAGTAAATACCTAAAAAACATATATTTCAATCAAAATGGAACCCCATTTAACTTTGATTTGTTGGGAGGACTCCGACATACCGGATCACAAAGCTCCTTGCGAAAGCGTTCAACAATATCTGTTGCAGTTGGCATAATTTTTGTAATGCCACCCTTTACCTCGGCAACCAGAGATTCGGGCGTGATGCAAATGTTGGAAACATTCTTGGTATTAATATCTAACAGATTGACAATAAGAGCATCTTCCGTAATATGGCCAAGCAGCAAATAGAGCACTTTATTATGGACATATCGCAGTGAGTACTTGCTACTGTCGCCATTCCAATGATCCGGCAGCAATTCGCTACCCACCTCGTCTTCGGGCAAAGTTTTCTGCGAGCAATAAAACTTATTGAATTAAAGGTCAAGATATATATATAGAGCATACTCACGTCATCTCCAATACCAACGCAGCGGAATTTGTAGTGCTTGGTCAGCAAAAAATGGGCAAGCACCATGAGAACATCTGCCTTCTTATCAATAATGCCATCTACAGTTTTGTATAATAGATCCCAGCCGTAAAAGAAGTCGGAGTTTAGCGACTCGACGGCAGATCTGGAGGTTGTTGGCTCCATTTTGTTAATGACTGTAGATAATGTTTAAAGACAGATTACAAATCAAATTGAAACATATTTCACAGGGACACGAAACCTAAAACTTTTGTTAAAATCGGAAGAATAAACCAAAACAATGACAGCACGAAATCGAACCTTAGCTCTATCAATTATCGTACACAAATAATCGATAGCCACAAATGCGTTTTAAGTAGAGGCATCCACATCTGCGTTTTAACACATCTCATGCCTAAAATTCTCGCATAGTTATATATTAATAACATAACATAACATAACATAATAAGAAATACTAGGTATGTATACTTTTATTTTAAGTGGCCTCGCTTTTTTCAAAATTCTGCAAGGACGCGACTTAAGAACGCTTTCAGTGCAATTTTTTGAAAACGCAGTTCAATTGAAATCAAACATAAGTCACACATTTGTAAACCGACGTTGGTAAACATCACTATGTTTGTATGCCACTTACATAATTAAAACACATTTAGTGTTTTGATATTTTTGTGTAACTCCGAGTAGGTCTTCTCCACAATTTTTCTGAAGTATACAATTCTAACTACGCTTGACTGCTAGCTACTGCCTGCAAACGATAAGCTAGTGCCGGCAATTTGAAACTCAGTGTTGCATTTGTGCACCAGTGCTGTAAAACATATATATTATATTAGATGATTGTTCAATTCAAATTTTAAAAATATATTCAACTGAATATGCTTTTGTAGCTTTTTTTACATTATTACATCATAATAAATATAAAATATAGTCATCTTTATTTTTGATAATTTACCTTTCCGTTATGCTCGTGCCTTACGGAATGTTGCATGAGTGCGAAGAAGACGACACGTTGGTGATAGAGTTGCCAAGCGTATAGTTGCGCATTTTAATCAACTTTTTTATAATCTTTGCAAATTATTTATAATATTAATATAATTTATGATATTAAACCCATTTAAATTCAAATTACGCGTATGTTGATGATGATCAATCAGAAAGAGTATTATATGCGATCGGTAGTTAAGATTACTTTATGCTGTTGAAGTTGGTATAAAGTATATTATAATATCGAGTTTGTACAACTATTTAACTATATCCATCCATGAAATGTGTATGTATAACATATTTTACCATTATCGGCCCAGACTTTAGGTAAAACTTGTTGTGATACTTCGTGTTTCGCTCGTGCACTCGGCTCACACGAAGTGGCTGCCATATTGGAAACGAGATAGTACAACGGCAGTCGCGTGAAAAATCATTTTTATACTGTTGACCAAGCAAATGGAGCTAATATAAAATATCAAAATAGAGCATTTGAATTAAACTGCAAAACGGCCAGGGATCATTTACGGCATTGCCGCCATTTTATATATGTAGGGCATGCATTGGTATTAGTGTTATTTATTATTGCAAAAAATACCGCGACGCGTTGTTGCTGCCGCTGCTGGTTAGCCAGCATTTTGCAGTAGTCTAGTGTGTGTCCGTGTGTGTGTGTGTAGGTATATATATATATACATATATATATATATATATTTGTTCGTAAGAGAGTGAAGAAAGAAGATATTTCTTGATTGCGATTGCAAATCCACGTGTGGATAGTCTTGACTATCGTAGCCGGCAAAATGAGCAGCACGCCCAGCGGCGAGGCTGTGCTGACGGTCACAACGCCAGCGACGCCATCGCCTTCACTCAAAGCCTTTGATTTTGATTTTACGGGTAAGCGGGAATAAGCGCCTCCCTCTACATGTTTTTCTAATGTACGTGTGTGCATTGTCTAGGTAGCAACTATGAAATGGATGCCAGCATTTCGGATGAGGAGCGTCGCTTCTATCTCAAAATGTATCCCACCGTCGATGTGGTCAATCAGCGTAAAGTCCACTGCACCGTTTGTCGCATGCATATTGGGACCGCGGCCAGCGCGGACAGCAATATTAAAATGCATCCGATATTGCGGGTAACGCACTGCATCAAATGCCATGACTTCTACAACAGCGGCGAGTTCTCCAAGGGGGAGGATGGCTCCGAGTTGTACTGTCGCTGGTGTGGTCAAGGCGGCGAGGTATATTGCTGCTCAACCTGCCCATTTGTTTTTTGCAAGTCGTGCATCATTAAAAACTTATCGCGTGGCGTTATCGTGGACATTGAGCAGAACGAGAACTGGAATTGCTTCAAGTGCACGTCGAAAATACTGTGGCCGCTGCGCGCCCAGCACTGGGCGCTTGTCAACTATATCCAGACGCAGAAGAAGTAAGTGCCGTGCACTAAGAAAAACCCAACACAAGCATAACTATTATTTCCTTCTCTGACAGCGGACTGCAATCGATGCAGCTGTCCGAATCGGAAATGCGCAGGCATATGCACAAGGACTACAGCACATGCTGTCGCCTGGCCAAAGCCAAGGCCAACAGTCTGTCCGACTCCATGGAGAGCCTAGAATCAAATGCTTCCAAGCGCAGTCATGCCAGCTCTGTGCACTCAGTCAAGAAGTCGCCCAAACCACAGTGTCCGCCCGCAAAGCGTCCAAAGTCCTCCAATGATGAGGTAGTCTGTACGCCCGATTTGCTCAGCATGCTGGAACCGGATTGTCAAATTTCAGTGGCACAAAAGCCTGGTCCACGGCCCACTATAACTCCAGCGGCCAGTATCACCACCACCACGCCGCGCATTGTGACTGTACAACAAAATTACAGTGGACCCAGTCCGAGTACTAATGGCAGTGCCACAACCGGTCCACGGAGCAGCTTGCCCCCGCCATTGGTGTTGAGCAGCTCGGGCATGCGCTACCGCCAGGCGACACCCGGTCCAGCTTCTGTTGTGCGACGCACCGTGGTGCCAAATGCCGTACGCACTGCGGGCCCCGTCTTCCATACCATAAATGGTTTTCGTGTCGATCTCAATAGCGCAGCGCAGCAGGACTCCTATCGTCTGCCCAATGGTCGGCTCATACAGGTATAGGATTTTCGTCCACCTCTAAAATAAAGCATTAATAGATACATTTTAAACCAACGCAGGTCAAGCGCCAGTTGCCACCCAGCGGCCAGCCCGCAACAACGGTGGCGCGCACCCCTATTTCAATGAATCCGCAGGTCATCATACGCCAACAGACACCGGGAGGGCCATCGCCGCGCGTGGTCCACCCCAGTTTTGGCTCCAATATGGGTATCTATAATCCACAAACTAATCAACAGCAGCGCGCGCCGCAAGTGGTGCGCGTCAACAATGGCAGCCAGGTGCATTCGGTGAACGTTGCGGCGGCATCGACGCCTTCCAACAGTAATGGCGGGACAACTATTATGATGACGCCAGCAGCAGTGCACAAGGCTCCGACACTGGTGCGTCATGTGTTCCCCAACAGTCCCATTGGTATGGCTCGCACCCAGCTGCAGGAGCAGATCTTTAATGCGATGGAAATATGCACGCATCTGACGGGCAAAGTGCAAACGCTAACCCATTCGAATGCGTACAATCAGGCGCGCAGCTACATGGATCTCAAGGAGCTCTACATACATTTATCCTATCTGATGACCTATGCGATTGGACGCTTTAAACAGCTGCAAGATAAGTGCCTGGTCGATATGCGCGAAATGGGCTTCAAGAATGATGCTAACAGCTTGGAGAACGGTCAACTGGCAGCTGGTAAGTTTTTTACAGTTCAATTATAATATTTAATATAGATTTAAGAAGTGGTTGGTATCCTAAGATATCGAATAACATAAGATGTTTAGACGGCCAACTTGGAGCGCTATAGAAATGATTGTACGAGAGCTAAGTTCTTATTTGGCTTTGAAGATCTATTGGCAAAACTTGGCATTTATTATTTTTCCCAAGCTGCATACATAGAGGTCAAATACTATCAACATAAGACAACACTGTGACATAGTTATATGGAAAGAGTCGGTTGAATCGGTCTGTTTTTCGATACATCTTTACCAAATTCTGAAAATATGAGCTTCACAATTCAGCTCACATATCTTCAAGACCGTAAGAAGCTATTTAATCTTCGGCCAGCAGAACATAGCCGTACTCCTTTAAATTAATAGGTATTTTATATTAGAGTACCCAATTTCTATTGTTTAGATATGTTATAACAAAACTGGAATTTAGATTATTCTGAAGATAACACCTTACGTAAACTTAACATCTTGTTTAATACAAAACATGATAGCCTAAGATTTAGTATAGGATATTACGTGTATTATTCCAGCCGACGCTTCACAGGCTGCGGTTTCCTGTGCAAGTCGAGGCCACTTTTAAGTTAGTGTACATTGTCTTTTGTGAATATTTTAACACATGGACGGGTGTTGCTCAACATTTTGTGCTATGGTCAGCCAGCATGTAAGTATTTTTTGTTGTGTTTATGAAAAACTCTGCGAGTTCCATTTCCTTGGCTCCACTTAAATTCAGTCTTGCGTTTGGCAAATTGATTTGATTTAGCTCTTGGTCCATGTGTTTGTGAAAATATCCAAAAAAGGCAATGGAATCGAATTCAGCAGCAGTTTTTCGCTAAAATCTTTCTTTTTGTTCACTTTTGGTTTTATTGTAGCCGTGGATTATGTGTGCTACGGCCAGCTGGACGATGTGGATCTGTTTAATACGGGCTGCAATAGCTTTCACAATCAGGTTTACGAGTATCGCAAGAGTTTACAGGCGAATCTGAAGGATGGCGAAAGCATTGATCCACTGCCGCCGCTAATGCCCCTGGGCGTGTGTGCCGAAGACGATCCCAAAGACGAGGACAATGCGCAGCAGCCAAATGAAACAGCGGAAAATGAGAACGACGAGCCGTCTGAGTATGATGATGATCGCGACGATGATGCCGATGATGGCGATGATGTTGATGATTTGGATGATGAGTACGATGCACTCGGCACCGAGGAGAGCATGAATCGCAATGAGCAGGCGCATGCCTATGATCGCAAACTGACGCGTCTGCTGCGCGAATATCCATCTATTTGGTGTACACGTCATCCGGACTATGGCAAAATGGAGGTGACACGCAAACAGTGGCGCGTAATTGCCAGCCACTTTCCACGCGGCGACGACATCAAGCTGCGCTGGAAGAATGTACGAAAACGTTATGTGCGCATCGAGCGACTGCTAAAGCAGGGTAAACGCTTCAAGGGCTATTTTGACAAGGCCACCAATTATTTGGCCAACCGCGATTTGCCTCGCAGTGAATGGCAACCCGTCGACTGTGGCGAAGGCGATGGTGACGGCTTTGAGCGCAAGCAACTGGATGCCATTGAGAATACCATACATAAGGAGCAACAGGACTTTACCGATGCACGACAACAGGGGGTAAGAGCGACGCCACGTTTGCCAGTGCGTCCGATCGAGGTACGCCCGATTGATATGCGCATCATAAACTTTGCCAAGAGTCATCCAGTGCTGTGGCGCAAGTCCACCGATCCTGAGTTCAACAGCATAGATGAGCAAACGCGCAAATCGCTGTGGCTGAACTTTTGGAAATCAGCGCCCAGTAAGTAATCCAAACTGTATTTTTAATGGGAATCAATTAAATTATGCTCTTCTTTTGTAGACTATCGCTGCGAGTACATTGTGGAGCGCTGGCAACAGATGTACGAAATGTACAAGTCCTTTCGTCTAAAAACCATTAAGGACAAGAGCACATTTGCCAATCTTGAGCTAAAGTACTCCAAATATTTGGCCAACTTGTATTTTCTGTATAAAATTGACGAGCAGGACTTACGCGACGAATTCGAGCCGCTGCAGGATTGTGTGCAGCAAGCGACAAACGGTGGCGATTCAGCTGGCAAGCTAAAGGATATGCCCGATGATAAGCAGTTCGCGCAACAACTGGTGCTAGCCATGCGCGCCTATCCCACACTCTGGAATCCGCGACATGTCGATTACAATGATGTGGGTGCCCGCGAACGCCTGTGGGCGGAGCTGGCCCGACGCTTGCCACGCTTCCGGCGTGATGCACGAGCCTGCAAATTACGCTGGCAAATGGCAAAGTTTGCCTACGAATGCTACTGTCGCGAGCTGGAACGACAGCCGAGACCGAATGAGAGAACTCTGCAAAAGTTGCGCACCAATTTTCCGCTTGAAGAAATGCGGTTTCTTAATATATAAGTTTTTTATAGATTTCAAAATTACAAACTAGCAGTAAGTTAAATTATGCCAAACTTCCGCACATTCTAAGATTAAATAAACTTATTTAAAACTTTTCAACAGATGTAGAGACTATATTTATCACATTTTTAATAACTGACTAAGTTTAATTGTTAAATTCTTACATTGTTAATGAATTCTTTACTCTTTATAGAAAAACAAGCCAGCGACGATGAGGACAATGAGATTGAGATCGTGGAGCCCAAAACGGATACCATTACCATTGATTCCGATAACGAGGAGGAGCTACCTTCAGTTTCAAACGTTAGCATACCAAAGGGCCTGAAAATAACATCTGTAAAATCAACGGCACCAGCATCGAATATAATTAAAATTGATCCTGTTACCGCCAACATGGACCCAAACATGGATATTGATGTGGCGGCCTTTAGCTCATCCATTTTGGCCAGTCTGCTGGAAGTGGACATTACCGAGGGCGTTGGCGAGGTAAAAACTCATCAAGCCACTTCACCAGGTGGTACCATACAAAAGAAGCAGCCGCGTAAAAAGATGACGAACAAACCGAATCCAGCGCTGCTGCATCTGGAGCGCCAGCGCATGGAGGAAACAAAGCGCAATGATGCCAAGCTTAAAATGAAGGTGGTCGTCAAGCTGAGGCGTGCCGAGGAAGACTTTGAGGTGGCGCGCAAATGGATGGACATGGAACATGCAAAGAAGCTAGCTAAGAAATCCACAGTGTTTGAATCACAGCCAAATGCTGAAGAGCAGATGCAGAAAGCTGAAAGCCAGAATGAACCAGTGGAGGCAGCAATCGACGCCAATAAAGAAGAGGAAAGTGATAATACCATGCAAAATGATAGTGAGAAGGAACAGGAACAGCACGTTGAAGATGAGTTGCTGCAGAAAATGGACACAACAGACGCAACTAACTCTCAAACAGACGTTGAAAACATCGAAACGAAGTCGACGAGCCAAAAGAAAGCCGAAGATGCGGATAATCCTGAAGATATTGAAATCTCAGCTGCGGATAAAGAAAAAACTGAAACAGAGCCAATTAAAACAAGTATAGCAAAATCAACGGAAGGCCTAGAAGTGACAGAAAGCGCAGGAATTATGGAAAATAAAAAGTCCAACGAAGCAACAATGGAAGTAACAGAAATAATTGAGGCTGATGACGAAAAAATTGAATTGAATGAAACTGAAACAGATACAACAGCTGGTGTAACAACTGAGGAAGCGGATGAAGCTGAAGACGAAGAAAGTATGCCGCAATTAAAATATAGAGAAGCTGATCAAACAGCGTTGGATGAGGCAGTTATAAAATCTGGCGTTGCAGCCAGTGCCAAGACTGATGCTGCAGCGCCAGCAGCTGAAGCAAATGAAGACAATACAGCCGCAAAAGCTGCCGACACCAGCGAGACAGATGCTGATGAGACGGACGCAACTGCATGTAAGGAGAGCTCAAGGAACAGTTCACCTGTGACCGCTGCTGAGGCGACGGCGCAGGCAAAGAATGATTCAACAACTTACCACAAGTTAGTCCAAGCGTCCGAAGCTGAGCAGCCGACTGAGATTACAACACAGAGTAGTCCAAGCAAGGCATCCCCACCAGCAAGCCCAAGTGTCGAACACCTTGATCCGCCATCGGATACGACTGACGCCGCAATATGACTGCTGTGCTAGTTTGGAATCCAAATACCCTAACACATTTTAATGCTACAATTAACTTTGCTTCGAATTGTAGGCTCGAATGTAATTTGTTATTATAGTTTTTAGTAATATTTTTGCGTATGAGCTACTCAAAAACGAACAGCGCAAAAAGGACGTATGCAACAGCTTAGATTTAAGAGGATTAAGCATTTAATATCAGAACTTTTTGTTTTCGTTTTCGAAAAGCAACTAGCCCAAATCAATAATATACCATGGCACATGAAAATTCAGAACACGCCCATAAACAAACATCATCATACTTAGTCATAAAAGTAATGCATAGAGTATATTGATATTAAATAATATCGTTTATTTTATTTTTTTTTAATTGTAAAAAATAAATACTTGGCGCAATGAGATTGTTAATAAATAATTCACATTTAATACGGATAAACAAAAGTCACGAACCCAGTTGCAATCATATAAAGTGGAGTATTGGGGAGTTGAAATTATGCAACTAGTGCATATTTTCGGTCTTTTTGTGCGTTTGCTTAAACAGATTGTAGTAGATATAACTATGTGAAAATTGAACAAGTCTGTGCGTTTGTTAAATAATATTTCAAATAGTATTAATAGCACCCAAAAAAGGTGTGCAAGAATATCGGCCCTTATACATTATTTTGAATTTTTTTCTTTTAAACTAAAATATGAAAATTCACTTAAATACCACAAATAATCTCAGGAACAAAAAAGTTTTATATAGCTACGCGTTATATAAGGTGTGTGCAAAACTGTTTGTCGGAGTATTCAATGCAAGAAATCATATTAGAAATGTAATGTAAACTCTAGATATGGAAGGAGGCCAACATTTTCGAGGCATATTCACAGCTCTTGTGCTTTAACAATTATTTCGATTCCTTAATCGCATATGATTTAAGTAACGTCCCGGTGGCGGGCATTGTATGCTGTAATTTGAAACAAAACGCCACGCGTCCGCCATGCTCTCCGCCTTCACCTGATGCTGGGTTATGCTGCCCTTAAAGGCGCACAAATGCGGGGAGTGGGCGAAGCTGAAGAGTGCATGATGCTGCCGCTTAACATTGGCACGATTCGCGCAGAGACCAGTTATGAAAATATCTTCTAGATAAACTAGCGATGTGTTCAACGCGGCCTCAAACAAACGCTCGACAACATCAATGGACATTAGATAACCGGCACCGGACAGATACTTGGGATATGATTCACCTTTGTACATATAGTAGGGCATATACCATTTGCTTGTCACATCGCTGACAGGCACCACATTGCAGAACTGATGTCCACGCATGATCCCGCTGGTGGCATTTAGTCGATTCTGCGGCGACATGACCACCATCGACCCACGGTCATGATAGTCTAGTGTATCGTTATAGAGGGGAACTGTGCCGCCGAGCAGAAAGTGCAACAGATTCGGCACATTGACAAAGGTGTCATCGTCGCATTTCAGAAAGAAGGCGCACGTCTTGCAGCAACTTTTACTGATGTGCTTCAATGCCAAAACGGATTTCAATGTTAGATTATTGTACGAATCAATGAAATTCTCCTGAATGATATCGTTGTACATTTCAGCTTCGTTGTGCAAACGTATCAGCGTCTCGTTGCCCAGATGGGATTCGTAATTGCTGCGGCCCACAATGAAGACAATGCGCACCTTGGCCGTTAAGGTGTCACCCTCACCGCTTAGGTAATCGGCATAGAGCTGCAGGCGTGAATCCATTGTCGGCAGATAATGACCCTTCATATGGCCATGCAGCTTGCCAAAGGCGGCATAATTGAATTCTGTTGTATTGCCCCACGTTTCCCGGATCGTCTGGCGTGCCACAAAGTTATTCAAACCGGTGCAGACGGCTATGATTAGAAATGTTTTGTTGCGACAAAAGTCACGCGGCATTATGAGTGCCGTCTCCTGCTGTGCCTGTATGTAGTCCTTAATGTCCAGCGACACGTTGGCCGCCCAATCGGACAGCGAAACTGTGAAAAGCCGCAATCAGCAAATGGTTTTATATGGTATACTCTATACTTACCATGTCTTTTTTGCACATCAATACAAAAGTACTGCACGATAATGTACAGCATTAATATAAAGAAACTGCACAGCATAAAATAACTGAATCTCTTAAAGCATCTGAGTAGTTGGTAGCGCATGGAACAGCCAAATCTCTTCAAGCATCTGGGTAGATAATAGCACACACTTTGTCGTCTATGGATATTTCTTTTGGCACGCATTTTGTGCCTTGGCTGTGATTCATCATCGGAGCCAGAAGCAGGCGTGCCGCCAGTTGGTTCTTCGAGCAGGGTGCACTGCTGCTCCAACTCCACCGCTTCACGTGTAACATAACCCATGCTATATTCACATCAGCTTATCAGATCCTGCGTCAATTTGCCTTCCACCTGATCCAAGCCGTATATTTTGTGCACATGCTGGCAGCAAAACGAAGCGTGCCTGTAATTATATCACAGGTTGCCAATTTCACCAATTGTTTTTGTGCCCGGTCTTAGCAATGCCACATTCACAAACAATCGCTGATGTTAATTGCTTGTCTTGATAACATTTACACGAGCAGATATGTAGTAACATGCATATGTATTTGTGCACTTTCAAGCCAAAGACAGCTGTTTGTGACTATCTATATCGATAACAGTTAAGCCGTTTCCACTGGCAGTGAAATGTACTTCCATTTATCGGAACGATATAACTTCTTCGCTATTTCGATTATTTTATATATGTATGCCGTTTTTTATGGTACGTATATATATATATATAAATATCTATGAGGCATGCCTAGATTATCCTACATATAACAATTTTTTTATATATGTAATTATATTTAGTAAATTTATTTAAAATGTTATCTACAATGATAATTTGAAGTACAGTTGACAAAATGATTGAATGAGCTTATAATTTTGTAAAAGGAATGACAATGATGATTTGCCTATGCGTCAGAAAATGAGCTTAAAATATACAGAAATAGTTAAGGTTTAATGTAATTGCAATCGCTAAAAGTAACACCCGGTACCAGCAGCTGTGTGGATAGCGTTGGCGACTCTAGAAATCCGCATCAAGTGTAAACACATTATCTAAACGATTTGATGTGACGCCCATTCGCTGATATTCGCCCACTTTTTTCTCAAAGAAATTGGTTTTGCCGTCCAACGAAATCATTTCCATGAATGTAAACGGATTCTTTGTGTTGTACAGTTTGCCGACCCCAAGTTCAACCAGCAGACGATCGGCCACAAACTCAATATATTCGGACATAAGTGCGCAATTCATGCCGATCAAATTGACCGGCAGTGCGTCAGTAAGAAACTCCTGTTCAATGGTAACAGCATCGGAGATGATCTCAATGATGCGCTCTCTGCAGGGACGCTGCACCAAATGCTGGAACATCAGGACAGCAAAGTCGCAATGCAGTCCCTCGTCGCGGGAGATCAGTTCGTTCGAGAAAGTGAGGCCGGGCATAAGGCCACGCTTCTTCAGCCAAAAGATAGAAGCAAAGCTGCCGCTAAAGAAGATGCCCTCAACAGCAGCAAATGCGATGATGCGCTCCCCAAAGTTAGCTGCCTTAGAGGATATCCAAGAAAGCGCCCAGTCGGCCTTCCGCTTAACTGCCGGCATTGTTTCAATTGCATTAAATAGATAATCACGCTGATGCGGATCGCGTATATATGTGTCAATCAGGACGCTGTACATTTCCGAGTGGACATTCTCCATGGCTATCTGAAAGCCATAGAAGCAACGAGCCTCTGTAATCTGAACTTCCTGGCTAAAACGCTCGACCAGATTCTCGTTAACAATGCCATCGGAGGCGGCAAAAAAGGCCAGAACATGTGAAATGAAATGACGCTCGTTGTCTGTTAGGCGTGCCCAGTCAGTCAGATCCTTAGACAGATCCACTTCCTCCACAGTCCAGAATGATGCCTCGGCCTGAGTAAAGAATGGGCGAAAAATACACATAAGAATTTCACAATTGTTGCAATCACTACATATTGTAGTTTCCCACTAATCTAATTGTTTACAATCAGTTACGCTTGCTACGTGAGCAAGTTTTGCCGCGTTTTTTGATACATTTTCCCGCCCTTTTCAACCCTGCATATACACACACAAATGTACTTGTGTATGTATGGATGTGTCTATGTACACATCCGCCATACCTTTTTGTACATCTGCCAGATGTCATGATATTGTATGGGAAAGATAACAAAACGACGCGGATTTTCACGAAGCAGCGGCTCCACCGTCGGATCAAATTGTGCCGCGATCTTCTCCATTATTGTCTGAGCACCCTTGCCGGCGCTGCTGGCCTCTTTGCTGATGCCATTGTCCTCCGTTGTTACGGACATTTTGCGAACGTTGTTGGCGTTCTCCGTCAGAATTTTCTTGCTAGGGCTCTGTATAAACGAAAAAATATATAAAAAATACATGTAAGAAGTTACAAGAAAGCTATAATTAGCTGAAATTGAATTTGCATTTGTTTGAGTGCAAACGGAGCCATAAATATATTTGCATAACTACTGTCCATAATTGGAAACGTGTCACGTACCTTTAATGAGAATTTTTCCATGTTGTCTGTGATGTTTTCTTTGCCGGCAATTTGAGCTTGAGCCATGTTCTTACAAATTTGATTTAATTTTTCACAAATTCTTGAAATAAAAGCGCCTTAAAATGTAATAAGCCAATTGCTTTTGTGCTTAGTTCTGCACGTTTCGGTTGTTCACAGGCTACTGATTTAATTAACTATGCACATTTACCTTATATGCGGGGCGCGCATTTCTGGCGTACAGTTTTCTTTTCCCGCCATCTATATATATTTTTACAGCTGTGTGCACGCAACAAGTGAATGCTAAGAAGTGTTGGAAATTGCTGAATTATTGGGCCTTCCAACAGATCAAATAAGCGACCCTACAGCTGGCAGCGCAGCTGCAATATTCAAAATGTATTTGCAATCTGGAGGAATTAATTTTAAGTAAAATAAAAATAGACAGCATTTAAAATATTAACATTATGGAGAAAACGCCAACCGAACATCATAAGCGCTTAGAATATTGTACGACGCGATTGCAATATCGACAGGGCCGCGAGCTAAAAGCTGTGAAAGTAAAAAAACCATCTAAAAATCCATTGGGATCCTTTAAAACTCTGCCAGTTTTCAGGTGTACACTGTTGCCAGCGAGTCCCGGCATATGTTGGTTTTTGGCGTGCCCAAAGTTAATCTTCACACAGAAATAAAGAATAAGCTGCAGTGCTTTGGAAAATTGCGTTCCTGCACATGTGTGACCACCGAATTGGCAGAAACAAGTGCGTCAGATTCAGATAATATTTAGAGCATAAGCCTAACTAAACTGTATTATATTGACAGTGGAATTAGAGGCCTTTACAGATGTATTTGCGGTGCAGTTTGATGGGTTGGAACAAGCGCGTCGGGCTAAACGACAACTGGATGCTAGGCAGTTCTTTGGCGGCGAACTACACATCTCCTATGCCCCGGAAAGAGAGACATCCCAGGAGCTGAGGGAAAAGCTGGTACAGCGCCGAAAAGAGATTGCCTATCGCATCCAGCGCAACCTGGCCGAGCAGCCGCATTCGGTCAAAAAAACCGTATAGAACTAAGATCATTTATAATTCTGTCATTTTATTGAACCTAATAAGATAACACGAGCCTCTAAGGCTGAACGATCTCTGAAGATTCTCCAATGCATGTTTCACTTTCAAAATAATGGCATTTCTGAAAAATTCCGCAAAGCCATTTGCATTTATTTCTGTTTCGTTCTGCGTAGCTCGTGATAGTAATTTAGCAAGCCAATGCGTTTCGCCCACACTTGCGCACCATAGTTCGCCCAAAAGCTGCAACAGAGAACCATTAAATCAACACAATGAAGCATAAATCGCAACTTACATGCCAAACAAGGCTCCACCCAAATGTGCCGCATGATCAAAAAATTTCCAGCCCATCACGCAGCCGGCAAAGTCTATGCCCATGATAACTTTGATGGCGGCACCGGCAGAGAACGTAACGGTTGGCAGGAACAATATGCTTAACTGTGTATCGGGATACTGTGCGCAGACGTAGGCCAATACGGTCATAATAGCGCCCGACTGCAAATAAAGCATAATAATTAAGATATACATATATATATATATATATATATATAAACTTAAGTGTAATACGCACCGCGCCCAGCGACATGCCCGGTTGTCGCGTGCCCGCCTTGTAGAGAATGCTCATCAAACTGGAAAATACACCAGCGCTGAGGTAGACGGCCATAAATTGCTCCTTGCCCATAGACAAGACGGCGGCATTAGAAAAACTGTGCAGCACATACATGTTGGCAAAGATGTGCATGACGGAGTAGTGACTGAATGTCGAGAGGAACATGGGCCAGCAAACGATTCCTGTGTGAGGTTAGAAATAAGATAGAAGCATTTTATCATTTAAATTGTATGGATTGTACTTACGCGCTGCAGGGTTTGATGTGAAGTACGTCATCATTATGTTACGCATTGCGGGCAGACGCCACAATCCAAACGCCAGCAGATTACACACCAATATGGGCGCAAAGGTTTTATCACCGGGCGTCAATGAATCCCAAAAGCGCCGCGCATCGTTCTTAATTTGCCACCAAGTGTCACGATCTACAAGCAGCCGATTTTGTAACCAACCGAAACGCGCCTGTTTGGCCTTCGAAAGAATCATGCTCCGTGTGTTCTCGTATTCAATTATCGTGGCGCCAGCAAAGCATCCGATGCTGAACTAAACAAAAGTTGGACTCAGAGCATGTGCCAAACAAGAGTATCTATTTCGATCAAATTACTTACTGCTCCTGTGAACGCGATTGCCTTGATTACGTTGTTCGTTGGCACCGTGCCACCCTCTGCCGCAGGCTCAACTGCTGGCGATCTGATGTTGCTCCATCGGGATCTGTGGGTGTGAAAGTAACGCCCTGGTGGCTGCCACGCCCGCTGTGTGAACATAGTGTGTCGACAAGCTTGTAATCGGCTTGCAACATTTCCTTGAAATCTATAACTGTATTTTGGATGTGAATTAAAGCAATTGGTGTAGCCTGGTCGGCTCTTTGCATCCTTACTTACGTCACCTGAGTTAGCCAACTTTGACATAGCGCACGATTAACAAGCATAATATTTCGGGAATCAAGAATTTTGCATTAAATAAAATATATATATATAAAATATTTGCTTTGTATTTCCCGAAAAGCAAAGCAGGTTGACATAAAAATATACTGTTGATTTGTTTTTTCCTTCTGAATTTAAAAAACCAAGATACCCTTCAGTACCCTGGACTGGTTTTCCACGTTATCGTTCAACGTGTTGGTATCGCCGCAGCCGGATTGTGTATGCTTTTATGTTGATTTTATCAGCCACTCGAAGTATCCACTGTATCCGTATTCTAAAATTCCAAGCTGGGTTTAAAGTTATAAATCATTTAAATAATGCTTTTTCTGTTTTTTGTTTATTTTTGCGATTTGCTGTTTTGCTCGTACGTCTGTTAAGTTAACATTTCGCATAAATGTTATTAACAGAAATTAGTAAATATCATGTGTAAAATTTGAAAATTGTATACATTTGTTGGCTATAAAAGGTAATACATGTAATTGGCATACAGTTGTAGTTTAAAAAATAAAAACAGCAACGCAAACTTAAATTAAATCAAATTGACACTTAACAGCTGTTAACCGGCTTTGGTACGTTATCTCTAATGTAGGGCTAACAAACGATATACTAAAAAGCAGAGTATTTAAATGTAAAAAGTAGAAAAACAATGTATTTAAAAAAAAACACTAGATTGTGCTTTCATTTCACGTGTTTTGTGCTCCTCGATAATTGTGATAATCTAAACCAAAAACCTTAGCAGCCATCGATAAGGGTAGATATCGATAGTGACATCGGCTGTTTAACAGTTGTTATTGGACCAATTATAAAAATGGAACATGTGGAGCCGGTTAGTAAATTATATTTTTGATTTTTTTTATTTATTTAACTAGTGTTCACATTTTAAGCACATCCAAACCAATGACATTCTGCAGCAAATACTAAAACTGAATATAGTTGAGAATGAAGCTGAAATAATGACGCTATTGATAAACTTGCGGCTGCTGCTCACCCAAAGCAGCGCCAGTCAGGAAACATTGGCCAACAATATGGAATTCGCACATTTTGTGCAAAACGTTGTCTTTAATCCAATTATGAGGACACAGCAGCGAACACTACACATTCTAACGCTTCAGGTGCTGGCCAACAGCGTTGTAAACAATGAAAAGACACAGGCAGCGACTTGGCAGACCCATGGCGCACAAATTGCCGAGCAAGCGTGCACTTCTCCACTGGGCAGCTCCAACAATGTGCTGCTCATGATTATGTATAACATTTATTTAGGACGTTGCACACGCCTGGTCAGCGAGCAGTTGGTGTTTGAAACATGTGTGCGCCTTTGGCAGGCAATTATTGAAGCACAAACGGATTACAATTTCGAGTATCTGCATTTTTTGCTGGAGCACTTTATAGTGAAGGATGGACGCGCCTGTGTGCAGTGCTATCAGCGTCTGGCGTTGGTGGAGCAACGCATTGCCTTTTTGGACTATGTGGCGCACTATCTGCGCGAAAACAGTCCAAATGGAGAGATCAGCACCATGCTGCTGCTGTTCTTTGCCAAAGAGTTTCGGCTAAAATCGGATTGTATTCTACGTGAAACCATAAAACTACGTCACGAGCTGCATCCGCGTGAGGTGCACACGCTGCTCCGCATCATTGCAAGCGCCAGCGGCACAGAAAATTATGCCAAAATCTATGCAGTCGATCACTCGCTATTTATTAATGTCAGCAGCTTGCTGCGCTGTGTAATTGCGGCTGGCAAAGAGCCCAATAGCAGCGTGGACACCCCCATGACAAAGCTGGAGGAAGTGGCGCTCACCTCTAACATAGATGCGGGCTATGAGGAGCGGGTGTCCTTTGAGCTGAAAACGCTGCTGGTGCGTTGCACGGCCAATTTGCTGTACGAGAACGAGGCCAACCGAGGCTACTGCCTCGACACCCAACTGCTGCCTGCGCTGCTCGAGTGCACAGTCATGGATGCGCGTAATCCTTGTAAGTTATAATCCAAGAATTGCTGACAACTAGCTTGTTAATCTGTGTTTTCTCTGGCCCACACAGTAATGCGTGAATGGAGCATTCTGGCCATACGCAATGCCTGCATCAATTCCCCCGATGCGCAACAGGTGATTGCCGGCCTGACCATGCAAGGTGCTGCACCAAATGACATGCTCAGCGAATTGAATTTGGATATGGGTGCATTACGCATCACAGACCGACAGCAATAGACACAAAAATACACAAATCCATTTGCTGTCCATTTGCCACTAACAAGTGGTTAGCTCTACAAACAGCACGACGTCATCCGCGGAATGATGCGCTAATGATATGCCAAAAAATGAGAAAAAAAAAACAAATGTTAACAACATTCATAAACGCGTTGTCAACGTTTAATTGCAATTTGGCCCAAAATTGTTGGCGGCGGCAGCAGCAACAGCAGCGAGCGGTGGTTGTCGATGTTGTGCACTGGCATGCGGCTGGCTGTTTGGCTGGCAAAGCATTTACGAGTTTTATTTTATAAATAGCTGCCCATGGCTCTGTATCATTAAAAAAAAAGAGAGATGCCTAAATACATCAATTTCTAAAATTACGCACACATATTGCTACACAATGTGCCTGCTGTTGTTGCTGCCCAGCTCAGTTTTTTATGGCGCAATTAAAAACGAAACGAAAACGATGACGCAGTTAATCACGACAATGCCAGAGTTCACGCTTGGCACTTGTCTGCTTGGGCTTGGACCATCAGCCAGACAGCAGCGCCAGCGCCGCGCCTGCTGCAGGTGGCCATGCACTGGTTGTTTGTCGCGACAACGTCTCTTTATATATATATATATATATATATATATGAACTCATTTAATCTAGTTAAGGAGCATCACCGACTCGTAAAGTATATATATTCTTGATCCGTACAAAGAGCTGAGTCGATCGCAAGTGTCGGAAAATATATAAGCTTAATCGGAATTGGAAATATATTTTCTTCGTTGCTATATGCAAAACGCGATAATCATATTTCTCGCGATTTATACTCCAATTTTCGTAACATCGATAAGAACCAATTTTAAGACATGGATTTTTAAGCATAACTCGAAAGTTGTTAAATTTTAGACACCGAACTCGGTATATAGCTTCACCCAAGGTATATAAGGATTAAGTGAATTTCTCACTCCAAAATTAAAAACAAAAAAATGTCATTAATATAGAGCCTTGTTATTGGGACACTTACGTCATATAAAGTCTTGAGATTTTTGTATTATCACATAAAGTGTGTCGAAGCCAGATTGTGTGTAGCGCCAGCTGGACTCTGGGTCCAGGGTGTCTCCTAGTCGAGCGCTTTCGAATAGAGCACCCTTGTTATTTATATACACCCCTGCCACATGCACATGTGGTCACAGCCAACCCCGGCGTCTATCAAAATTCTTGTATGTAGAACGCACGCCGCCAACGCCGCAAATTATGTTTATGCTGTGGGTCCCATTTTAACGCTCGCAAATCACAAATCAGCGCCGGCGGCCCAAGCAACAATGCCAGCTCCTTCCCTGCCTCGAGCAAGCGCAGGCCTTTTGTTTTTTTCGTGCTCCCACCAGCGCGACCAGGGCAACCACTGGCACTGCCGCATCTATTGCCTCTGGCAGTAGTCAGTCAGTCTGTGCCCGTGCTCTGCAGCAGCAGCAGCAGCAGTAGTAAGCGACGGTGTGCGCGATCTCGTGTGGTTTTTATTGTGATTTAAGAATTGGATTTGTATTGTGGAAAACCCGTAGCCGTGCTGCTGTCTGCGCGCGTTTGGCACTTATGCTTTTATATTTTTAAACGATCTTCTTTTAGCTCTAGTATTTATTTATTTGTTTGGGTTTTTAGTTTCGCGAAATTAACAACAATTTATTTACGGCTTTGGCACTGAGCGCGCCCCAACTTCAACCCAAACAAATCTAAGAAATCAAAAAAAAAGGAATTCAGCAAATCGAACGATCTATAAATCTAGTGCAAGTTCGAAATTTTTAATGGTAAACAATGTGCAACATTTATAGTTGTTGTTTTTTTTATTTTTATATTTGTTGCGGCTGCACTTATATAATCGTAAATCAGCGAACTGGCAGTTACGAGCTGACAGTTATGTTCCGTTAGAATTTTAAGTTTGTCGTCGCGTTGACATAATTTATGCTCAACATTAACTAAAGATAAATGTAGCAGTAAGACTAATAAACTAATACTATATAAATTACAAAGTTCCCGAGAAAAACATATAAATTGACCAGTAAAAATTTAACACACAACATTTGTTTGCATAATATATATACTTATTTATTTTAGATTTAGGCTAAACATTTTTTGTTTTTGTTGTTCGCGTGTGTGTGTGTGTGTGTGTGTGTGTGTGTTGCATACCTTTGTACTGTTTATTTATATAAAATATTTCCCATGTCAAAACTGTCAATATGTGCGGCCCCCAAAAGAAAAATAAATATAAAATAAAAGACAATGAAATGTTGAAAAATTACGGTTTCACCGATTTTGTCGTGCGGTCGGTCAGCTTGGATCAACATACATGTATATGCCGCCACCCCCCCTCCCGCAAACACATGTACACACAGGCGTACCTAGGCGCAAAGAATGCGTGTGTGTGTGTGTAAGTGTAGTAGACACAGCTTGATAACTGTACGTTCTGTCTAAAAATACAAAATGTTCAAGACAAATTTGTTTAAAACAAATGGCGAGCGCGCCAAATGCGTACCGTGCAAAATTTAAAACAAAAAAAAAAAAAAAAAACAAAAACAAAAGAAAAATAGCTCAAAATTAAAGCAAAATAAAAATAAATAATAAGAAAAACAAAACACACACCCACAAAATATGCTCAGCACTTATAGCATAAGAACTCTATCCGTTGAGAGCTCTTTGTCTCCAACTCAAAATGTGGCAAATGACGCACTTCTGGCCACATGACGCAGATGCAACTCCTCCCAACTGGCGTATTCAGTTATTTCTTCCACATCTATAAATAAGACACGGAAGTGATTGCCACAAGGAACACAACACAAGAAGTTGCATGCCACACGAATGATATGTGAACAAAAGATGAAAGCAGCCATAAATAAAACACGACTGCTTACAACATTAAACAACATTTTACGCTAATGAATATAATAAGTGCAAATTATTGCGGGTTTTCCACACAAGTCTTAAAACGACATTTGCTGGGCTTTATCTGTACAAATGGCGCAGCATTTTAACATTTTATGATTTGCACATATATATTTTACTATCGCAAATTACCCAGCTTTGCCCGGGTCAAGTTTTTTTCTTTCCAAATTACAAATATTACTTCCAAAGCAATTTTCTGCACGTGACATACATACAAATTAGTTAGAACTAAATTCCCCCAATTTTACACAATTCTAAGTGGAATTTCAAAAAGTGCAGAAATATATAAATATTAATTGTAAATGGAAAATGTGCAGAAAAAGAAAAATATTACTATGTTTTAAAGGGCTTGGTAAAGAAAATGAAAACTTTTCAGTCCCATTTTCACCTAATAGAGTTGGATTTGGCAAAAAGCGTGAAACAATGCTGAAATGAAATTTCACAAAAAAACTCTGAAATTGAGTTTTAGGCCAAACGGATGTTATACAATAATAGTAACCGGAGTCAAAATGTCAGCTTTCTATCTCGATTCGGACTGTACGTTGATCGGCAAACAGTCAGTCAGTCTGCCGGGACAAGCAGTTGCCTATATTGAGAATTATATGACATGTTTATATAGAGCTTAAGTACGGGGAAAACCTGACTATGTGGACGTCAGGTACACATGTCGGACCGGGCCGCTGCTCTATGGCACTTTCACACGCACACGACACCACCCACCCACGCGGTGGGCGCACCTAATTCTCGCCGAAATATTCGCAAGATATACACATGAATGTATATTGAGGAATATTAAATTTTCAATTTGAAGAAAATGAAAAATAGAATGGAGCATTATTTCAAAGGAATTCACATTATTTCGTTGGCCGGTCGTGAATGTCTCTGCTAATTTGCTTAATTTCTGTCAAGAAATTATAGAAATCTGAGAAAACGGACGGTTTACGAATCGTTTTCGTTGCCAAAGCGACGACGTCAAAAACAACATGTAAATAAATAAATTCTCCATAGCAGCATAATTAATGGCTCATGCCAGACAAATGTGCATAAAATATGATTATTTAAATATTGAGCTGGCCAAAAATAAACGCGAACGAGAATCCACAAAAAAAAAAGGAAAAAGAAAATAAATACGAAAATCTAAATGAAATTCCGTATTAAAAACACCTGCTGAATTATAATTATGACGATGGGAGAAAACTCGCACGCACACACACTCCCACACACACAGACACAGACAGTCGTACAACATTGCGTATACGCAACGTGACTTAATTTGTTTAAACATTGGCCATGCCAACATGTCGCCTTCCAACTTTTTCATTTTTCATACCCAACAGGAACGTGCCCTATCCCATGTGCGTGTGGATTTCCCATTGGTATCGCCCGGAGACAGCAGCACACAGCTGAGGCTGAGCCCGTAGAGAGCGGACACAGTTAGTATTGGCAAAATGAAGCGCGACGTTTCCACGTCGACCATTGGCCGGGATGAGGCCAGACGACCGCTGATGGAGGCGTATATGTTCCAGCGTCGTGTACTGCTCGGCTGCAGCCTGTTGATGGTCGTCTCGCTGTGTGTTTGGATTGTGGCCATTGCTACGGATCATTGGATTATCATATCGGGCGGGGCAGGTGTGTACAATATATGCATATTTTTTTTATATTATTTCCCGGTTCCTATTTCGTTCCCATAGGCATCTTTATACCCGAATCGCGACGCTTCTTTATGAACTCGCATTCGGGCCTGTGGCGCCATTGCCGCAACACAATTGTTCCGAATGCGCTCAGCAATGCGCAGGTGGTGCGGAATTTTAGCTCCATGTCGTACACCTCACAGTCGTATATTAATGACGCCAAGCGCAATCTAACCCACATGGACTTCATTCGGAGTTTTGCCGAGGAGAAGCTGGACGGTTCCGGGAATTTTACGGAGCCCGCGCGACGACGCATGTTCGCCCATTGGGCACGCGGCGAGGAGGAGGAGTTCCAAACGTTTCGCAGCGCCTTTCACAAACTCGTCATGTCCACGGAGGCCAACCAGCATGAATTTAATGCCACAGCCCTTAAGCCCATACCGATCGATCCGTTGGATGTGAGCGGCATCATAAGGCGTCGTACCTTTGGCTCGGCGCTGCAGCGCGTCAAATATAACAACACCTGGTCGTACTATGTAATTCCGGAGATGGCGCAACAGTGTATATTTAGCAACTGGACGGACTATCCGCTGGTGGTGCGTCTGCTGGGCACCTATATACGCGACGTTGGCATACCCGCCTTTGTGCTCAACGAGGAGCGCGTCATTTTGATACTCGTGCCGCCTCTGCCCCCCAAGAGGGGCGGCCAGACCGCCTACTACAGCTATATACCCTACCGTGAGTATTCAATCGCCTAGGTATTTATACTCATTAATAGATATTACCTCTTCTCTCTTGAACAGCGCGTTGCAAATACATCGACATGTTCCCCAATTCCAATACCCTTCGCAACGAGCCCGGCTTCGATGATGAGCTGATGGGTAAGTTTTATCCAATTGATTTGCTATTGTTTCAGCTTTTATTTGGTAGTGTTATGGCACGCCATTGCAGATTACATACGAACGCAGGCATCGTTTGCCTGCATCACATTGTTCGTGATGAGCCTGGGTGCTGTATTCTCCTTCTACACGTTCATGAATCCGCGCTATATGTTCAAGCGTCTGGCCGGTGGTATACACCTGGTTGCGGCATCCACAGCGCTTGTCGTCTTGCAGGTATTGTTCTCTTCGATTGACTACACTAAGGAGCATTTGTTCTATGCGTATCCGGATGGTGCGGAATTGACGTGAGTAAAACACTACCAAAATCGCAGACAGTTAATATGTATATACAAATTTCTCATCTAAAGCTATGGCTATGGCGTTTACCTGGCATGGTTCACGTTTGTAACTAATATTGTTTGCGGTATTATGTTCCTCTGGTATTCGGGTAAGAAAAAAGGCGCTAAGGCGCCAAATGATGAAGTTGCCATGGCAGATGAGCCAACCATAATGGGCAGATAAGTTCGCCCACAACAAACTACAATCAAAGACCAAAGCAATCCAAACCAATACCTGGGTTGGTATTTTCGTTTCACTTTTGTTATTTGTTATCTTCTTAATAGTATATATTTTAATATATATATGTGTAAAATGAGTTTTTGGTTTATAATGATCTGAAGAACTCGGCGCAATAAAGAAATCAATTGTTAACCTGTAATACAAAAGCTAATGTTTCATTTGAAAATGCGTTTCATTCGTTTCGGAAATAATCGGGCAAGCTCGAAAATATACGCAAATACACGGTCGCATTTTTGTGTTTTCGATTAAAAATCGACTTTTTGATTGATATCGACATGAACAAAACTGAAGGTAGTAAATTGACAAGTAAACTTATGACATCACAAATGTGTTTGCAGTCACATATTTTATTACCATTTTGCCTTACAATATGTGAGCCAATGACGTCATATGCAGACAATGCATGGCGATACCTTGTAAAATGTTATTGGCACATGTTGTAGAAAACTGTATTTTTTTTTTGCTGTCAAAGATTTAGTTGAAAACTTAATTAAATGGAAGCGGATATATTTACCAAACGAATCAAAGATCTATCTACTGAGGAGAGAGAGAGGCTTGACGAGCAAAACAAGCGTTTAGTGCCTGAATTCAAAGCGAACAAATTAGAGATCGATGCCCAGCGTCATTGGGATTTATTTTACAAACGCAACGAGACGCGCTTCTTCAAGGATCGCCACTGGACAACACGTGAGTTCCAGGAGCTGCTGGCGGATCAGCAATGCACAAGCACGGGAGCAAGACGACGTACCCTCTTAGAGGTGGGCTGTGGGGTCGGCAATCTGGTATTTCCGCTGCTGGAAGAGCAGATTAAGGAGCAATCCAGTAACCAAGGATTTTATTTCTATGCCTGCGACTTTTCACCGCGTGCTGTTGACTTTGTTCGTGCCAATCCGCTGTACGATGCAAAGCATATGACTGTCTTCCAATGTGACATAACGACGCAACAGGTGCATGAGCACATTGCCGCGTCCAGTTTAGATGTGTGCACCATGATCTTTGTGCTATCCGCCATACATCCCGATAAATTCGCCGATGTGGTACGGAATTTATGGCATCTGCTAAAGCCTGGTGGCTTGGTACTGTTCCGAGATTATGGGCTCTATGACATGGCGCAGCTGCGCTTCAAGCCTGGCCACAAAATTGCCGAGAATCTATATATGCGACAGGATGGCACACGCAGCTATTACTTTTCCGAGCTGCAGCTGGCACAGCTGTTCATCCAAAATGGTTTCGAGGTGCTGGACAACAGCTATGTGCATCGGCGCACACTCAATCTGAAGGAGGGCATCGATGTGCCGCGCATCTTTCTGCAGGGCAAATTTCGAAAGGCTGCAGCCAGCTGATGGCATTTCAAGTATGTATATATATATATTTTTTCTTTTAAGTTTAAGTCAATTACAATAACATTGTTCAATAAATATTTGTATACTTTATGTTGGGCTTACATATACATATGTGTGGTATATATGTTTGTGTCCTACTATGTTGCAACAGCTTTACTCTCGCTGCGGGTATATTCAGTACGTTGCGAGCTGTGTAACGTACTGGGAGAGATATTTGCAACATGTATATATATATCTGATATCTGATCAGGGCGACTTGTTGTGTCCATACATCCATGGTCTAGCTTTCTCTTTGCGAGCTAGTCGCTTCGTTTTGAAGCTATTTTTATAAAACTTGGCATAAATTCGTCATACATATGTCGGAATCTGTCAGATCGGATCTCTATATCGTATAGCTCGCAAGCGAAGCATCGGTTGCTTCAAATACCAAACTTGACAATAAATAACATTATGTTCGGACTACAATATCATGGAGTTTCTATAGAAACAATCGGCCGGAAGTCGATGTTTTAATACACACACAGCTAGTAAGCGTTTGCAAGGGAATCTTCGACGGCCCAAAGATAGCCATTATTTATATCAGCTTTTATATTGCTTAACATATATATGTATTTAACCCATCATACCAGAGTCTAGATAACTTTACATTAAACAGATTTTATGTTAGTTGCACTATTAAATTCATTATAAAATACTTTTCTTTAGCATATTTTCTGGTAACTTGGCTATAAGTGTTAGTTTTGTGGGTGAAGGACTTTAAACTCTTAAATCTAAACGATAATTACATAATTGGTAATGTAAATGTTTAGCAACAATTAGAATACAATACGAACAACAACTTAATGTGACAATATTCATTATTCAACAAATTCAAAAACGGTTTTTAAATATTGCTGCGTTCTATGTTCCAGTTCAAAAAACGTCCCAACGTTGCCTGGGTCCAAATCTTACGGGTTTTGTTCGTCAGTTAATACCGAGGAGGTAACGTGCGAATACATACGTATATATATATATATATATATATATATATATGTAGCTAGAGTAATCGTAATAAATATACTTGAATTTGGCTAATTGGTTTGATGTTGGGCACGCTCTAATCGAGACCATGTTCGGTCAGCTTGCCTCCATTGCTGGTGCTGTGACCCATGGGCGTCATTTCGATGCTGGACTCAAAGCTTTTGGTCAGCACATCGCTGCTCGTAATGGAAGTTGTATTGCTATGCAGTGATGCTGCGATGCCGCTACCTGGCCCAGACAGGGTGGCGATGCCGTCGTTCATGTCGCTATCCATGCTGAAGCTGTTGCTGCCATTCTCATTGATCAGCGAGAGCGTCTGCAGAGGCAGCATGTCGGTGGGTTGCGGCTCGACAACGGCATCGTATGTCTTCGACTTGCTGACCGTCAACGGGCTCTTGTCGTAGTCGATTCCGGTGTCCGCTGTCTGCAGCTGCAGCAGCGAATTGCGCTGCGTATGCTTGTCAAATTTACGTTGCGGTGGTTTTGGCGGTTCCTTATCCTTCTCCTTTTCCTTCTCCTTGTCCTTAGACTTTTTGAAGCCGAGCGCTTTATGGGCCTGCGCTTTAATGCCCTCCATGCTGGGCCTGATGATGGAAGTACGGGTGCCGCTGCTCTCCTTGGTCGACGGCGATTCCTTAACAATCGGTTCCGTTTCCTCCATTACGCTGGCCAGCTGCTGCGTTGCCTGTGGCATTGTGAGATCCTGCACTTGTATGGGAATATCATCGGGCAACTTTTTCGTACGAAATGAGGCATTCGTGATCATCGATTTAGAGACGGAGGTCGTCACCGTATTTGTAGCAGGTGTCAGCGCAACACTGAGACCCATGGGGCCATCATTAGGCTGACCAGAGGGATTTGCATGCAGCGAATTGCGTACAGCGTTTGTGACTAGAATCAGTTCCGTAAACATTTCGTAGCTTGCTCGATTATGTATATCCTCCAGGGTCTGTATGGCAACTGTGCCAAAGCCATTGAACATGGCATAGTAGATGGCATGCACCAGCTCGATGAGAAAGGACGCAGAGAGTGGTATGCGCGGCGACGAGGGCTTGGGAAATGTAGCGCCCGTTGCTGGATCGGAGCTGTAATTGAAAGACAGTTAAAGCTAGAACAGGAGCAAGTAACTGTTACTTACCCATAGCTCATGCGATGTCCATGTCCAGATTTGGTGGTGAATCCCTGGTTGACCATCTGTGAGGCAACACGACAAAGATGCAGCAGCGATGATTTCTGCGTGAGGTTCACCTGCTGATTGTAGCAGAAAAGCAGCGCCGCCATTATGCGCATTCTGTTCTGGGCATTAATCGATTCGATGCGCAAATGTGGTCCCCATTTGACCTCGCGGTTGCAGTTCTCCTCCCAGCGTCGCAGATCGGTCATGGGCAGCTGCTTGACCTCATGATAAACGGAGGCCTGTGCCAGGATGGGCATGCGAAACGCGAAAACCTTCTGGCCGCCATCGTCGGTGGACACCTCGCCATTATAAATGCATATGAGCAGCGTCTCGACGCCGCGTGACGCCTTCTTATCGCCGGCCGCGACTGCATGCAGGTATGTGTAGATCAGCACTGGCAGGAATTGTAATGGGAACTTGTTCAGTGTCACCTCCGGCGCCCGATAGAAGGCCAGCAGCTGCTGGCAAATGTCATGGATCAGATCCTCGTTGCGCTGCCTGTCACTGAATATTGTGAAGATGGCCTCGGCAATTTCGGGATCTGTTTCATGCTCGACGACGAATGCCTCGGAGTCGGCTGGCTGACGTCGAGTGCGTTGATAGTCCGCCAGCCATTCTTTCACCAATTCAGCCATTATTATGTATTAAAGTGCCTAATTAATTTGCTGTACACTGTCCTCTAATCTTTTTCACACATAAACCTTGCATATCTGCGCAGGGCTGCATGCGCAGCGAAAACATTAGTTCAGCAGAACTAGTTCCAACGTATATAATTGTAATAGTTTAACTAATAGGTAAACATCTATTTTATAACAATCACAAAAATGACAACCACCTTGTAGAGCCGCTCATCTTGCTCGCTCAGCTGCTAGGAGTGACTAAAGTGTGTACATTGTCCTTAAAAACATAAATATACGCACACAAGAGTTAGCCATTTTGTCCGATAAAAAGTAACAAAAATCGATGCTAAGTTACTGCCGCTAATTTGACGCGCATCATATTTCAGTGTGTAATAGTTTGGGTATCTCAAACTTAATTATAGAATTTTTTCCCTTTTCTTGTTTCTTGCTATATGGGCCTCGGTAAAAATATAATATCGATTTATAATCGAATAATTTTAAAACAGCTGTGTTTTTTAGGTTTGATTATGTTAAAAATAATCGTTAGAGTCATTTAGCTGTTAAATTCGACTTTTAAACTGAGTTACATTTTTTCTAAAAATTACTGGCAGCGAAAAACGTTTTTTATTATTAAACAGTCATTTACTGAATGCGTATTACCAATTACAGCGTAAATCATAGTTAAGGTAACACCAAAAAATCGATCTCACTGTTAATAACAGTTCAGCAGTTCAGCGCTCAGTGTTGCGATCAAAAATCCTAACATAAACAGTGTTGTCATATACCGTACGACAATCAGGGACTGCGTCGCTGGGGAAAAATATGTGCTAATTGCGCGGATAGTTAAAAGAAATAGCTTATATACCAAAAAATAGTTAAAGTCGCGTCTGAAATTAGATAATTACAATCAATAGTATTTATAATGAACATATACAACAAATTGCGTAGCAGAGAACATGGACTGGGTAAGCAAGAACTCTAGCGCGGGCAATTTATGCAATTTGGCGCTCGAAATGCATTAGAGCGCGCTCCCGCTCCTTTCGCGGGAAATTCGAGCGCCAAAATGATCAGTGAATATTATTAAGGAGGAGATTTCGTGTGCAATTCCACTTGAACAGCAGCAACAGAGTACAACGACATTTTCATATGGAATATCAAAAACTTGCTGCGTTTGCGAAAGTAGTGCATAAGAAACTAGAACGTAAACAAACGTAACTATTTGGCACTTATTGCACATTTTCCCTTTCTCTTGCAGCCAATGAGCGTACTTATGATTTTGCGCTGAGTCGCCTGTGCGTGTCCAGGCAGGACAGCTGGCGTGGCATTGCCCCAGCCAACTACAGTCCGGACTTCAACCCAGAGCCGCCCATATTCTCAGCCAAGTTCGCCAACTGCGATGGCTACAGACACATTTTGGCCATTGCCAACGAGGATGGCAAGATTGCGCTACAGGATACCACAGAGCGTAACCAGGAGCCGGAGGAGCAGTCGCTGAGTGCGCCACAGTGTCATTTTAATGCCGTTTTCGACCTAGAATGGGCGCCAGGACAGATGCGGTTTGTGTCGGCCTCCGGTGATCACACGGCTCGTCTGTGGGAGGTCGCCGGCTCTGGGATACGTGGTCTCAATTCCTATGTGGGCCACACACGTTCTGTGAAAACAGCCGCATTTAAGCGCACGGATCCGGCAGTGTTTGCGACAGGCGGACGCGATGGTGCCATCCTTATCTGGGACATTCGGGCTAACCTTAATATGGATCTGACCTCACGCGTCGACAATTGTATTTACAGCGGCCACACCGGTGGTCCGGGCACGCCACAATCTCAACGGAAACAGCGCACTCGCACGCCTAAAATGGCAAACAACAGCAACACCTCCAGCAGCATTACGGGCTTGGCCTTTCAAGACAACGATACGCTCATCTCATGCGGCGCTGGCGACGGCGTCATAAAAGTGTGGGATCTGAGGCGAAATTATACCGCATACAAAAAAGAGCCACTGCCGCGTCAGAGCTTACCCTATGCGGGTCAATCAACATTTAAGGGCTTCACCAATCTTATTGTGGATGCGGCGGGCACACGTTTGTATGCCAATTGCATGGATAACACCATCTATTGCTACAATTTGGTTTCATATGCGCCTAAGCCGCTGGCCTGCTATAAAGGCCTGCTCAACTCGACTTTCTACATCAAAAGCTGCCTCAGTCCGGACGGCAAATATCTGCTGAGTGGGAGCAGTGATGAGCGCGCTTATATATGGAATCTGGAACATGCGGCTGAGCCGCTGGTTGCATTGGCGGGCCACACTGTCGAGGTCACGTGCGTGGCATGGGGCGCCACACATGATCGTCCGATTGTCACGTGCAGCGATGATGCGCGCCACAAGATCTGGCGTATCGGGCCTGCGCCGGAGACATTGACAGCCGCTGAGGTAGCGGAACAATATCGCGGCCAGGCGAGCTATGTACGTCAATTCGATAGGCAGCAGCCAAACGCTGCAACACAACATAAGTATAATCTCAGAGATCTGGAGTCTACGCCGCGCTCTCTTAAGCGTCTCATGGAGATGAATGAACGCACGCCAAGCTCTGTAGAAAAGACGACCATCAAGCGTTCCTTTCTGGAGATGCTAGGCGCGACAAGTAACGATGCAAACATGGAGCAGCCGCATCAGAAGCGCACAAAGCCACTCGAGTCCAGGGGTCGACGCTTATTTGGACCAAGCTGCACCAGCAGCCAGCAGCTACCAGCTATTGGCGAGGAGGAATGCACCATGCCCGCCTGCAATCAGGAGAATGCTGCCGACGACATCTCGCCGCTAACCTGCACAGCTGCAGCTGCTACTCGATTGCAGCAGCCATCGCCACTTAGTGAGCATCATATAAATCACATTCCATACACCTCGCCACCTACAACATCAGCGCAAGCGGGGGCAGCAAACGCAAGCACCACTTCGCCAACCGCGCTCTCTTTAATTTACTCGCCCACCTCGAACCTGCCCAACTATGTGCTAGACGGCGAGGCGCCGCATTTGGGCATCATGTCGCCCAAACGTAAAGCCAAAGAGAAGGTCGACTGGCTAACCAAAATACGCAAACAGAAGCTCATGTCAAACAGCCGGGCGACGCTTACGCTCGCTGAAAAGATGAGCATCGAGGAGACGCTCGATGTAATGGCCTCGCCCCGTCTACAAAGCCTGCGCAACTCCGAATGCAGTCCCAGACTGCAGGCCACACCTAGGCGACGCATTTCACACAACGATACCGGCGCCCCACACTTACGCACGCCGACCTCCAGCCGGCGGAACAGTGAGACGACGCTCCTACGATTCTTCAGCGTGCAACGCAGCAGCGGCAGTGGCAGTGATGCCTCTGCTGCTGCTGAGGATGAAACGCACGGCCTTGTGGAGCTGCCTGTCATTTCGCCGCCGTCGCCAGCAACATCTACGTTGACGCTGCGCACGCCAACGACTGTCGTCGGCAGCGACTGACACCCAGAAGACGGATCTGGGATCCACCCATCCCATATATAGTGTTAACTGGACATACCTTAAGCTATTTCTATGGTAGGTTAAACAGTTCTTTTTATCTCCAAGTTAATAAGCACTTTTCACACTTTTGTACAGTACTAACACAAGAGACTAAATATAATTACACACATATATATATATATATATATATATACATATATATATCAATAGGATATTTTAATTTAAGATCTTCTGACATGCATGTGCTTTTGGCTGGGTCAGCTTTACCAATTATGACAATAAAACTAATTTTGTTTTTTTAGAAGGTATTCTCTAGTTCTATAACCTGTTTATTAAATCGAGTGAGGCTGACTCAACTTAGATTATATTTTTGAGTTAGTTTTTCCAAAAAAAGAAAATCACATAAATGTTTAAGGCGTTATTTTCTCTTCTATTTATTTTAGCATATACAATTGTTATTGATCATTGCGATTTTTTGGACGTCTTTGGTTGACCATTTTGTAAAGTAGATTGTTCCTGCCGCTGCTGTTGCTTTACCGTAGCGTTGAGCCTCAGGATGCGGTAAACGTGGCGTCCCACACCCACAAGCAGAATTAAATGACACAAGTGAAGTGCTATGCTGGACTCCATTGTGCTGGGATAGGTGTTCCAGCAGTACTCGATAATTCCCAGAATTAAATAGCGCACGCCAAGCGAATACGGCGTGGACCATACCAAATACGGGAGAGAGTGGAAGTACCAAATGTAGAACTGATAATGCAGCGACCGGGCGCAGGCGACACCGATGAAGTTGCACAGGAAGAAGGGTAGCAGCGCCAGCTGTGTGCATGGCTCAAAATAAATGTCGTATTGTTCTTGCTTTTGGTTCAAATGTGGCTCTAAAGATTTCTGACCCGTGCTTTGCTGCAGACTCCTCTCGAATGCCTTGAGGAAGGATTTTTGCTCGGCACTCAGTTGCTCGTCCTCCTCCTCCTGCTGCTGCTCTACCAATTGCTTGGACTTCTTCGCCTGAATCTTTGCTTGGTTCTGCTGCTCGCGATTTTTGTGTAGTATTTGTGGCACTATCTGTTGCTGCACCTCGCGTAGTCTCAGGTAGCTTCTGAAGAACGTCCAGGTAGGCTTTGCAAAGCATAAGAGCAGCAGCAGATGCAGCGCCAGCAGGACCAAGTGGAACTCACGCTGCTCGAAGAGTTCCTTGCTCAGGAATCTATAGTTGACAGTCCACTTATGCTCAAAGATGCGACCCAGGTCGAAGCTGCCGCGCAGATATTCCATAGGATGGGTACGCAGAAAGGGCGCGCCAATAAACAGCTGTAGCACTGCGCAAATGGTGAGCTGTACCAGAGTCCTGAGCACGCCCAGATTAGCCAAATAGAACAGCAACAACGCGGGAGCAAACAGTAAAATGTTCATCTTGACACCAACAGCAAGGCTATAGCAAATACTTCCCAGCGTCCAACGCTGATCCAGGAACAGATTTAGCGCGGCATATAGTAGTAGAATGGCCACAGGATCATTGAACAGTCGGAGCACATAGATCGAGTGGATGCGGTAGGATGTGAAGGCGCTAAGCACCAGCACATAGGGCGGCACCTTGCGGCTCTTCGTATAAAGGCGCAATACGAGGCACATTTGGAGCAAGTAGATGCAGGCGAATATGTATTGTGCCAGACGCACATTCGTACCCTGGCCGGTTAAATAGTACAGTCCCGAGTAAATGTAAACAAATGCAGCCGGGTATACCAACGGACCGGTGTCACCTGAACGAAATTAAACAATATTATTAAATCAATACAAAATGTAACGCACACAAGCAAATACCCTTGACGCTTATAAACTCTATCTATTTTCCTAATCAGGAATATATCCCAATATATCCCAGTCGTTACAGACATGTTTGTCCATCTGTATGAAAACTCAAAGATTTTCATCATTCTCACATAAACATCCAAGCCACAATCAGTAGAAAACAGTAGTTTGTAGAAATAACCTTCCTTTTCTAATATCCAACCAATTTTAAATACGCGGTTTTTTTTTCCTATAAACAGCTGTGAGTGTGTTCCCCAATAACCAGCCGTTAGGAACTAGCAAATGAACCAACAAGTTCGTGAGCGAGCTGTTTACGCAACTTAGTGACTGTCAAAATGTCAAAGTGAAAAAACGAGAGAGAGAACACTTTGTATCAAGCAGCATGGAGGTTATTACGGCATGTTGTTAGAGCTGGCTGCCAAATAGAGAGAAGATTAATAGAGTTAAAACAGTTAACGGACAAAATGATTTCGTGTAAAAATTTATGTGTTTTGCGTCAATTGCCGCTCAAAAACTGTCGCCGGCATTACAGTGCCATTCAATCAAGTGCCGCGCTGCTGTCAGTGCGGCCAACGAAATGGACACCGAAACCTGCCGCTGCTGGTGGCGCCGTCTCTGCTTGGCAACAGAGGACGACGGCGAAGCAGCATCAACAGCAGCAACGACGCAGTCTATTCAGCTCGAGTCGCATGCAGGCCAAGGACTACTATGCGACGCTGGGAGTGGCTAAGAATGCCAATGCCAAGGACATTAAGAAGGCGTACTATGAGCTGGCAAAGAAATATCACCCGGACACCAACAAGGATGATCCGGATGCGAGTAAAAAGTTCCAGGACGTTAGTGAGGCCTATGAGGTCCTTAGCGATGATCAGAAACGGCGGGAATACGATACCTATGGCCAGACAACGGAGAACATGAATCGTCAGGGTGCGGGCGGTGCCGGCGGCTTCGGTGGCGGCCCCTTTGGGCCCGACGGCTTCTCACAGAATTGGCAATTCCGCTCCACCATCGATCCGGAGGAGCTATTCCGCAAGATCTTTGGCGAGGGAAATTTTCGCAGCAATAGCTTTGACGACTTTGCAGATTCCAAATTCGGGTTCGGGCAGGCCCAAGAGCTTGTCATGGACCTAACCTTTGCCCAGGCGGCTCGTGGCGTCAATAAGGATGTTAATGTGAATGTAGTGGATCAGTGTCCCAAATGCGCCGGCTCCAAGTGCGAGCCTGGCACCAAGCCCGGTCGCTGCCAATATTGCAATGGAACGGGTTTTGAGACTATATCCACCGGCCCCTTTGTAATGCGCTCCACGTGCCGCTATTGCCAAGGTACGCGGCAATATATTAAATATCCGTGCGCAGAGTGCGAGGGCAAGGGGCAGACAGTACAGCGGCGCAAGGTGACGGTGCCGGTACCGGCAGGCATCGAGAATGGTCAAACGGTGCGCATGCAGGTGGGCAGCAAGGAACTGTTTGTCACCTTCCGTGTAGAGCGCAGCGACTACTTCCGTCGCGACGGCGCTGATGTCCACACGGATGCCCCGATCTCGTTGGCTCAGGCGGTGCTGGGCGGTACAGTACGCGTTCAGGGCGTCTACGAGGATCAATGGCTGAACATTGAGCCGGGCACCTCATCGCATCGAAAGATTGCGCTGCGCGGCAAGGGCCTGAAACGTGTCAATGCCCACGGACACGGCGATCACTACGTGCACATCAAGATCGAGGTACCAAAGAAGCTGAGTCAGGAGCAGCGCGCCCTGCTGGAGGCGTACGCTGAACTCGAGGAGGACACGCCCGGGCAGATACACGGCATGGCGCAGAGGAAAGATGGCAGTAAGAAAGCAACGTAAATACATTTTAAAACTAATGTGATTGGGCCTACAAATACAAAAGAACCTGTATTTGCAGTACTATGTGCAATAAGTTAAATATAGTTTTTGTTGTATAATAATCAAAGTGAGAGCTCGCTTGAACGGATACCCACGGCTCCAGATTGTCCGCGTAAGCATACCCCAGTCATATCTATGTTAATTAATGAAAAATGAAAAGGGATGTATGATAAATTTCACGATTTGTTTTAAAAACATCTCCTATTGCTTTCATCTTTAAAATTCAATTATCTTTTAATATTTTACCCTTCCGGGAAAGTTTTTGTTAAAGAAAGTTTCCGTTTCCGGCCAACAAAAGGGAGTTCCGTTAAGGGAGTTTTTACTGTTGATAGCTATGGTTAAAGCATTTACGATATTAAACCTTTCAAATACAATTGCAGCATAGATCAATTATGCAATTGGCTAGCTGGTAATGGTAACTACGCCAAATATTCTTAAGTAATTTTAATTTAAACGTAGCTTATTTTTTAGTTGCTCGAATTAAATTTCTGTTCTCTTTCCCCTGACTCATTGACATGTCTTGCAGCGCAGGTGCGAGTGAAACCAAAACTGACGCCCAGCCAGCAGGTAGAACAGCGGACAGCGGTAGTCAAGGAACGAGTAGAGCAGGAGCAGAAACAGAATCAGCGAAAGGCCAACAAAGCGAAAAGTCGGAAACACGCAGAAAAGATCAGCAAACCGGAGGCGAAAGTGGAAGCAGCGGAGGCTTCTTGAACAAAATCAAATCCATGTTCAACTAAGTTGAATTGTGTCTTTGTTATCGATAACTCTTTTGTAATCGTCGTTGGTTAAACGATTGGCTACAAATGCGTTTTTTGCCTTTAAACTTTAATTGTTAATTGTAAATTTGGGGGCTATATTCCAGTGTGGAAAAAAAATGAAAAAAAATACACCAAAATTTATAGTAAGAACTTGCGGCTTGTCTACGTTCAGCTACATTTTCGCAATAAATTTGGCCTGGTCTCACTCTCTCTATCTGCCTGGTTTCCAAAAATAAACCAAAGCCAGGCGGCAATTGACTTACCTCGCAGCAGCGAATAATTGGTTGTGCCATTCAGAAAGCCTTCACATTCCTGTATGGCGAAAATTTGTTGCTTTATATATATATACATTAACAAGTTCCCGTCATTCTCACCTGCATGTAGGCCTGCCAATCAATCTCCGTGTAGGGCACACGTTGAATGACAAGCACGTTGATAACTGCCTCGGCCAAAACAATCAGCACCGAAACAATGGGCAGCGCAGCCGGCTCGAATGCCAGGTATTTAATAAAGTTCCAATTGACATATTTCTCTTTAAGCAAAAGCAACAGGTTGCTGGGCTTTTTGCGTCGGGTCACAGGCCGGTTGTTGGTTCTTGGCGGTGCCATTTATTTGATAATAAATATTTTTGCGGCTAAATGATGTGTACACCCACACACCTTAAATACATGCTGTGGGCACCCAAATTCTTAACATTTACAGAAAAATTATTAACAGCGCGCACCAATTTGCTTGTGGAATAATTGTCGTTACGGTTTTGTTAAGTAAAAGAACAAAAATGATTATTAAGGTTGATGCAGTTCGGTATAAAATTATATAAACTATGTAAAGAATACAAGTCTGTCAAGTAAAACGACGAATGACGCTTGTAATTGAATATAACAGCTGCTACTGCTAGACGTAACAAAATCATAACCCTGCCATAACAGCTCAGCTGTTGCTCCACACAAACTATGTTCGCTTCGTTGTGATGAGAACCCAGGTTCAGGTAAGCTCCAAAAGTTCACTCAAAATAAAACAATCAGCTGTTAGACGAAATCAGGCGGCAGAAGTCGATAGCATTTAAAAATCGGCAAATGCACTGCATTACTATCAAGCTGCAGCTTTTATTTAAGGGGCGTTTTATTAGCAGAACATATTTTAAATTCACTTAGTATTATAAACTATAATTTTATTTTGAAAATACTTTTACAAACTTTACAACACTTTATAGTACAGATTCAGTAATTAAATTGGAAAAACTGCATAATACATTTATTCTTTCGTAGAGATATTTTTTGCAATAGTATTTTGACTATGTTGTAAGAAATTGACCAAATCTACTTGTGGTCAATTGCACGAACGATTCGGATCTGTTTCCTGTTGGAAGTGCAATGGGCACAGCCAATTTAATGATGACACAGAAGGGGGGTGGTAACCCATATACGATTTGATGGGGCAAGAAGTCGGCTGGCTGGCTGGCCAGAACGAGCCCGGCTGCAGTACGGCTCTCCACTCCGTTTACCTCACTCATGCATGTAAATGTTGGCCATTTAAAAAGTTACAAGCATCCTCAAACTCGAATAACCATTTCCGCTCTGTGCGCCCTTCATCTGCAGGTTTCAGCACAATTAATTGACAACCTGCGGATGCGGATGTTTTTCAGATTTTCACTGTTTCGTTGTATTCATGTTATTTTTTTCTGTTTTTATTTATTTATTTTTTTTTCATTTCTTTTCGGCGGTGTACATGTGCACTAATTGTGCCCAGTGCGCCGTGTATTCGCAAAAAGTTGACAAATGGCATGCAAACTGTTTCCATGTCCATGTCCAGGTGAACTGCTCAAATGGCTGCAATTATGCCAAGGGCCAGGTGGGCAGTTAGTGGGCGGCAGTCATGTGGATTTCGTACGCATTTCAAGGGAGCGTACGTCAGGAATGCAGTGAAAACTTACGGCATATTTCAATAAATGCAGTGAAGAATTCAAAAAGAATTTAATTTTAAGCTTGTTGCGTGAACGAACATGTTCCCAATAGATTGAGATTGCAGATAAATTACTTTTGCTTAATAAATGTATACATACTGAAAAAAAAAATGTACACACATATATACATCATTAGAAGAATGTACGAATTGGCCAAAAATATTTGGATGCCCTGTTGCATTCTCTTTCCAAATGAGTAGGATTTTTCTTTTTGCCTATTTGCCTTCCTCAACACCAAAATATTTTATATTCAAATAAAAAACTGTATATTGTACATACATAGTTCTTATCACGCTATTTCTATAAATGTGATTGAGTGTCCACATATTCTTAAATATGGGCTTCTGAGCATCGTGGGTCGTTAAAGTCTACGCTAGTTATCATTTAAATACAGAATTATAAGTATACAGATGGGTATACATTATAGAACTAAATCGGTCATTTCTTATCAGGCGCAACAGCACCAATACAACAAAAACAACAGGGATTCTCCACAGATAACTGTAATATAACCATTCAGTGCGAAAATTGTCCGTTAATCAATATATTTATGTATGTATGTGCGTGGTGTTTTATGTAGTACGTACATACTTTATGTAAATATTTATGTACAATGCAGACATTTATAGGTGTGTACATTTGTGTATATGTTTGTTCTGCTTGCTGTTATCAAAAAGGCTGATAATAAAATCTAGCAAGCTTTAGAATAATGTAGAATATTAGTGTGTACAGATGTACATATGTATGTCTATACATACATATCTATGCACTTACATATAACGCAAGCGTCTACTTCTAGCTGACAATCATTTTAATAGTTTCTATATACACACATGCATACATGTGTATGTAGAACTTTGTACTCGCGTTTTTATATTATTGTTAATTTATTTAATGCTTCGTTCCTTCATTGCGCACTGAGAGATTTAAATAATAACTGAGTACGTGAATTGTAAATGCAAGTACAATTAACTGGTACGTTATACATATATTATTAATAAAATAAATGCCTGTAAATGTATAGATATGTACGTCAGCGTGTGCGATAAAAGCGCAGCTGATTGAAAAACATTCAAACGCTTTTGTGATCCGGTCTCAATAGCCGAGCTCAGAAGTCCATCCTATATGCTTGTTTGCATAGAAATTATTCCTCTTCTCTGTTATTCGCTAGCTTACTGCTCATTGTTATTGTTATGATAGGCAGCAACAATTGCAGCCTTTACTTTTGCTTTTGGCTTTGCTTTGGCACTTTGCTTTGTGTACACACAGCGGAGGAGACAAAGCGGCCAAACAAACAAACTGTTGATAATTGAGCAGACGCGGAGAACGCGAACGTTGCAAAGCACTTACAAACAAACACACGCACACATAAGCATCAACTTAGACACACACGCATGTATAGGCCTTGCCATGCCGATGGACGTTGGCATAGGGTGGTTAATCGAAGAGCAGTGGGACCATTTAAGAGTTCAATCATATCAAGCGTCGTTTTTGTCGCGCCGTGTCAATGTTGTGTTCGTATGGCACCCATCCCCACATACTCCCACTCTACCGTTGTTTGACTACTGGTGATGTTCCTGTTATATTCCACATGTGGACTGCATACACACATACACATGCGTAGAAGTAAAAATCAAAATAAAATACATACATACCTCTGTAATAAAAACTAGCAGAGAACAACATATCAAAAGGTTTGAGCGATTTCTGATCGCGCTACAAAAAACCAAATATAGAGTACTCAAATCATATAACAATCATATTCACATAAAAAAAATAATTATATTTTGAATATAACAACATAACAACATTAGGCATCATTTCTGACAAAAGTGAGTGCAGTTTACTAATACATAGTATTAGTTGTACATTGTATATATAGAGTAGGGTACTTTGTTGTTGCTATGGCTGTTTTTGCTGACTGCCTGTTGCTGCTTTGCTCTTATTTGCCTACAGTATGCTATCTCGCTTGTTCGGCTGTACGTAATAAGCTTACTGCAAGTGTGTGGGTGCATATGTAGCGGTGTCTCGTACATACATATTTCGTTTAGCTTTCGTGCTGTTGCTGTTTACGAACCAAGCAGTCAGCCAGCCAGCCAGCCAGCTGGGGCTGATTTTAGTTTGATTTTGTCAGTGGCCGTGTTCGGTTGTCGGCGAGTTAACGGCACGCCTATCAAAAGCCGCTCAAAGCCCAGCTTTTACTTAAGTTTCGAGCAACAAAACAAGCACAGCCGATAAAAGTGTTGAAACTCTTTCTTTTAGGTCTTTTAGTTGTGTTTTTATTATTTGTTCTGGTAAATAAATTTTTGTTTGATTTTAAACAAGTATAAATCAATTAAGAGAAGCAAAGCAAGAAATTAGAAATATTTGAGAGAATAAAAAGAACAAAACAGAAAGAAAAAACCGAAAACAAGCGCACAAGATAGCGCACAAAAAAAAGCTGAAAATCATTGTTATTGCATGGAAAATTACTACAGAAATTTCTTGATCGTCGGAGCTCTATAAACGCAAAAGCAAAAGCAAAAGAAACCAACAACAATAACACAAAAAGCTTAAATTGGTTTGGCCATACAGCAAATTAAGTGACCAGCAGTATTCTGTATATTTTTTATTTTTATTATTTTATGCATATAAGTATAGATATGCTTTTGTTGGCTCTTTTTTAATCAAAATTTACCTTAAGGTTTTTGACTTGTGTGTGGTTTTCGCGCCAAATGCATTCGTGTTTGAATTTTCTTGTGAGTGTGCCTGTGGGTGTAAGCTAGAGAATTAATCAGTCTACAAACTTAAAATGCCCAGAAATATCATTAAAACAGTAACAACAGCAACTAAAAATCGAGCGATAAATTTATAATCTTAGGCAACATAAACACACAGGCGCATTTCACCTCACACATGCCCGAATCTTTTCGAAAAACAAAAATTAGGAAGATAAAAAAGCTGAAAATATTCATGTGTATGTATGTATGAATATATATACATACTAAGCTAGAGCATTAGTATAAAATATAGAGCTTCGACGAAAATATAAAAACTTTCACATTGCTTTAAATGCAACTGAAAAATCGTGTACAAGTGTTTTGAATATTCGTAAATATAATTTGTAAAAAGGTCACCGATATGATAACGTGTAACTCGTTTCAAATAATTGATTTCAATGCCGAAATATAAATTCTCTCGTATTTATACATGGTTTATGTTTCAAATTTAATAAAATCCCTTTTATAGTGCGTGCGTCTTTTGTTCTTGTACGTTACATTATCATGTAAAAAAGAAAACAATACAGAAAAAGCTGCATCGCTTATCAGACGCTCCCGATTACAGACCTGTATATACATTGTACAAAAGTAAGAATCAACGTGTGGCACGTTATCAGCTCCGTAAAAAGAAACAACAAAAAAACCAAAAGCGATCTCAAAAGAACAAAAAAAAAGGTGCCGATGATTTCCAGTACGGCTGTTACCAACGACAACAGCAACAATAACAGCAGAAAGAACAAGAAACTGACATTGACAGAGAGAGAGCCACAAAACATTTGAACCTTTCCATCGTCAGCGGATCTATGGGTAAGTTTTCTCTTCGTTTCATGGATATTTTCTCAGTTGAACGGACTAATATACGTATGCTATATCTAATAAAAGTTAGTGTATATTAATAACGAATATAAGGTAATAAGTCCGTACAGTAAAAAGAACCGACCTTTTCAGAACTTGTCACTTTACATATAAAAATGAATGTCCGTTAGTATCAGCTTTTCTTTGATAAGCAACTAGATTTCTGTCATCATTTCTTGGTGTGATATATTTTGATAAGACTCATTAGTCAAAGAATATTTGAATGCATTTTATAGCGTTTGTATTTGTATTTTGTGGAAATTTCTGTGGGCTTCGCTGAAACCTTAATTAATCCCTTCTGCGTGTTTGCAAGCCTTGTCTGTGTATTTGTATTTTACTGTCCGTTATGCCTGCAAGGGGCCTTCAAATGCCAGACCAAGTCAGCTCGAATTGGCAAAATGTTGCCAAAATCGGATTGCAACTGACCAAAATCAAATCAAAAGTCAAAAGTTGCACAGCCAGGACTGCAACTTCAACATCAACTGCAACTGCCACTGATTGACAGCTGCAGGATGAGAAATTTCAACTTTGGCTTGTGATTTGCGTTTGTATTTGTGTTTGGGTCTGTGCGTTTGCATTTGACTGAGTATTGCTAATACTCCACATGCTAAATTCAAATCATTATAGAGCTTTCAAAATGTATATTGAGTGGAAACTTGATTTTTTGAGGTCCACATACAATGTCCTGATTTTGTGGTAACCATGCTCGTGTTCAACAAACATTAAATGTGTGCTAAGTTTGCCAAGTTGTTGGCTAAATCAAATCAAAGTTGTGAGAACAAGAAAAATAGCCGAAAAATTGTTGAGAAAATTTGCCACTTGACCTACCACACGTAAATCTAAATTAAGCAACAATTTTTTATGCGTTCTCTTTTCGCTGCTTGTTTTGCTTTTTTGTCTCTACTTATACATATACTCAATTCTACATTCATTTTTGTACGTACGCGTGTGTGAGTGTAGCCATATTCTACACACATATGTATATATACTCGCTCACATACACACACATAAACACACAATTATTACCGAGTACATTTCTTTGATTTCTTTTTATTTGTGCCGTACTTTGCCGCCATTACTAAGTGAATAATTTGTGTACAGTACACTATGCAGTAAAAGAGTGTATTAGCAGCTATATGATATAGTGGTCCGATCTTAATAGGATTTTGCACATATATGAGGCGTAAAGTAAAACCAATAAATGCCGAGTTTGGTCAAGATATCTTGATAAACAAAATGTTTTTTCATACAAAAACTTAATTTTCGACCGATCGTTCCTATGGCAGCTATATGATATAGTAGTCCGAGAGGTGGTTTTTACATATGTGCTGAGTGCAACAGAAAAAGGGGGTTCTGCAAAGTTTCATTAAGACAGCTTTAAAACTGAGGGACTACTTCGCATAGAAACAGACAGATGGACAGACGGACAGACGGACAGACGGACATGGCTATATCGACTCGGCTGTTGATGCTGATTAAGAATATATATACTTTATGGGGTCGGAGATGTCTCCTTCTATGCGTTACACATTTCACGACAAAATTATAATACCCTCTGCAAGGGTATAAAAAGAAGAGAATTAGAGAGGCTGAAGAACTGAATCAGTTTATGCCAATTATGATATCAATTGTTGCTACGGCAACAGCTGAAGAGAGAGCTCAAATATACATATATATTGCAGTTGAATAACTGTTTTTTGTCGCGGCCTCTTCTTGTTGCTAAGCGTTAAGTGTGTGCTCATGTGTGTGTGTGTGTGCAGTAATGTGTGTTTGTTGTGCGCGAAGTTAAATCACTTGAACTGCTTGAATTGTCTGAAATAATATTTCATTGAATGTTGCAATCAGTTTTAAGCCCTTCTTAAGTGGAACTCATTTGTAGCAGCATACAACGTATTTTAAATTGATTCATCAACAATTTTCGTATCCATTGATATGGATATTGAACTAGATTCAGATAATTTCATCCTACCGTGTTTGTCGATTTACGAGTATTTGTAGCTTAAGCAAAGTGCCAAAATTATTAGAAATTATTAGAACATACGTGTTTTCGCCCTGCTGCAGGCGTGAGCAGATAGCAACGATGGCTGTAACAATGTCTGCTACTAACTACTTACGTTACCACCACTCCTATGGTCGCAAATTGAGGTGAGTGAACTTTCAGCAGCAACAAGCACGAGAACAACCATCACAAGAACAACAACAACAAATGTCAGCGCCTCTTAGTGACTCCCCAGTTGGCAGCTTGTAAAAAGTAGTCGATTGCAAAATTCTGCCATTTTTCTGAGGGTTCTAAAATGGACCCTTCGCTGTTTTTTAATCAACATTTATCGGACAACTATTATAAATATTGTTATTTATAACCATTGTGTATAATAACTTAGTCATCTGATTTACAGTCTATAGCTTTTAATTAAATATTTACCTTTTTTCTTTTTTTTTCTTTCAATATTTTGAAATATATGCTGCGTTTATCTAATGGATGTTAGGGTACACAAATACCTGCTTCCGCATATTCCCATTGTACTTGTTCTATGGTATTGTTCCTTTCTCTGGGAGCTGCAACGTGGGTCGCTCAATTTCGGCTTTCATTTTTATTTTTTGCCATTTTTTTGTTGCTTTGTAGTTTACGCTTCTTGGGCTTCAAAGTTTGCTTTTAATTACACCATTTTCCCCTTGCATATTACAATACTCGCACATTTTCGGAATATTTTCTGCTGTGGTTTTGACACTGATTTTAAAGTTGTGCAAAAAAAGTTGTCTATGAGTTCGCAGTTCCCAACGTCTGTAAACAAATTAAACTGTCTTGTTTATGACGAGCAGAGAAATTAAGGTGCAAAACTTGCTAATATAATGATATTTAATTAATTGCTATGCAATAATCAAATACTTATGATAGTTAAGCATGAATTAAAACATCAATTTAGCTAAAATGAAGTAAAAAAGACTAAAAAGCAAAACCAAACCTGATACGGCTAATCAAGACTGATTGACAAACCATGAACAGCCATAAAATTTGTGTATTATATATTGCTAATCTAATCAATTTGTGGTTGTTTTAGAGCTTTACACCTGACAACAGCTAAAAAATAATACTAGCCACAAATTAATATGTTTGTACTTTGTGTGATTAACAAGTGAAAAAAAAAAAACAAATAAAAGACTTGGCAACAGAAGTGGCTCAATAATTAGATAAAAATTTAGGAGTTTTTTTTTTGCCAATTTGTTAAATAATTAATATTTTAAGCGTGCTTATTATAAATTTGATATAAGCATTTAAGTTTTGCCATTTAATTGACGGAATTGCAAAAGTGGGCTGTAATTATAATTAGATGCCTGCCACTTGAAATATATGTACATGTATGTATATTAATTTGTGTACATCTAGTCGGCGTCTTGTACTTGATTATGTCGAGTAGTAAATAATTATAAATGGTTTTTGAATGCGAGCAGCGAGAATTAATGCACAAATGAGTTGATTACGCAGCTAATTGAACCATTAGAGCTGTACTCAAGACGAACGGAAATTCAATTAGCTAATTATGGTGGCTTGTGGCAAGTTGCAAGTGACATGTCGCATGTGGCAGGTGGCAACTCAATCAAAAAATAAAAACCAAAACAAAATAAAACACTTTGCATATGCGAGTGTCGAGTGTTCTTATGCCATTTGGCAACAGCGAAATAATTTTGATCCTCCGCCTTCGATTCTATTTTCAGTCCGTGTGACTAGTTGTTTATGTTTAACGAATAGCTGAAGCATCACAAAAAAGCCAACAACAACAACAACAGGCATTTGGAGACGTGCTTTTCAAAAATAAATTAAATTTGACTCCGAATTTGCCATTCTGTTAAAATGGAATATGAATTGCTGGCCAGGACATTTTCTTGTCAGGGCATGACTATACTGTTTTTCACAAGTTAAATGTCTCAACTTGTTGCAAATATTAAAAGTTCAAACCACACACACACACACTGCATGCACTATGCACGAACATCGCTGTCTTTGACAGCCAGACAAATAATAATTGTATGAATTCAATTGTAAAGTTTCCTGCTTGGCAAACTTAGTTATGTGGAGGATGAAGTATGCGATAGACAATGCTCGACAGCATTTACAATGTGCCTGATTAAATTAATTAATAAATAGCAATTGCAGGCTCATGTCATTGGGGCTTGCCAAATAATGTGGCTTAGCTTTATTTAAAAACAATTTGCATTTGTTCTGATATCAGTTGATAAGCAATCCGAATTTTTGGCTTGCATTTGAATCACGCAGTCTATTTTAATGCGCATTGCTATTTAGAGTGCGCAGCTGGGCTGCCATTTAAAATGCAATGCACCAAACGACAAGCCAACCAACTCGCCCAACCGCCCGCCCGCCCGTCTGCCTGTCGATAAAGCAATTTGCATAGTATCGACAGATGTGCACGTAAAGCAATTGAAATGCCAAAACTATTTGGTGCATGTGCTTAGTTTATATATATATATATATATACATATATATATATGATATATATCAATTTATATACACATCCTGACAATCAGCTGCTGCTGATGCATGGGCATTTCAATTGTTGGCACGTTGAAATCCACGCACAAATGCCTCAAATGCTTTGATTTTGCCTTTGTCTTTTTTATTTTACCTTTCTAGAGGGTATTATAATTTTGCCATGAAATGTTTAACGCATTGAGAGAGACATCCCCGACTCCATAAAATATATATACTCTTGATCAGTATTAACAGCCGAGTCGATAAAAGCATGTTCGTTCATCCGTCTGTATGTTTCTATGCTAACTAGTCTCGCAGTTTTAAGGTTTTACTATATATCATAGCTGCCATAGGAACGATCAAAAATTGAGTTGTATGAAAAACTTTTTTGCTTTGTCAAGATAACTTCACCGTACTCGCATTAACTTTTTTTCCTGTACTTCTTAGATGCGGACAATCACTATGACCATTATGAAAAGGTCGGGTCTGCAAAGGTATAAAATCTTCGGCGTGTCGAATATAACTCTTATTTCTCGTTTTGATTTTATTTCAAATGCAATGCCATTGCTTTCAACTATACACAACAAATAATAGAGATTAGAATACAAAAGCACCGAAAATACATACATATGTGTAATTATGCACAAATATTTTTAGCATATCTATTATTGAATGATGTTCGAATCATTCGCCTAAAATCGTATTTTCTTTTTGTTTGTGAGTATTGAAGTCATTGAACCTAATACAAAGTAACCGCTATCACTATTAGTTTGTAAATTCAAATAAACCAAACCGCAACAGAAATCAAAAGCAAAAAGTCACAAACAGCGCGTGTTTTTCTTCTATATATGCATATGTATTTCTATTTATTATTTGTATATTTATATATATGTATATATGACAGCAATTCACGTCAGCAAAAAGTAGCTACAGCAACGGACTATATTAGCAACAATAAGTGCGAGTCCGCATTTATTTTTTGTAGTTGCATAGTGCTATACACAGCGTATACGCGATATCAAAGCAAGTTATGTATATGCAACGTGATGTTGTCAAAATTAGTTGAAAATTTGTGAACTGTAAACAACTGGCATAATGAATACTCTGTCTGAATGAATTTGTCAAAACTGCACCGATTTGTCCTCACATTTGTCCATTGCGCATTTTTGTATAATTTTGTTTAAGTATTTTAATTTTTGACTTGGGTCACAAGTTATTTTGTATTTTATATATCATGCGCGAAAGCAGCTCCATGCAGACAATTTGTCCTTGGTGTATCGAAACATCACGAACACTTTCTGGCATATCCGGTTGCTCAATAGGTGGCATACTGATCAGACTAAATGAAAACACTTTCAAACCGCAATGACGCGCGTAAATTACCTGAAAATATGTAGCACACATGGGTTAAGGTAATTTTGCAAACGATAGGGTCCACGATTACCTCCTGAACGAGTGACATTCCAACGGCATCGACACCAATACTTCGCAGAAAGCGCTGTTCGGTCGCAGTCTCATATACGGGGCCACCCAGGCAAGCATAGACACCCAGATGCATGCGATCCTCCTGACCGATTTCGAGGCCAATCTCCAGCGCCTTCTCGATCAGGCCCTCGTCATAGGCGTCGGCCATTATGACGTGCCGGTCGCCGAAGCGCAGATCGTTCGGTCCGTTCAGTGGATTATTGCCGAACCAGCCGAACATATTGATGTGATCCTTGATGAGCATTATATCGCCAACTTTATAGTTCTTATTGACCGCACCTGCTGCACAGGTGAGAATCATATATTCGATGCCGCACAGCTTTAGCACCCGCACCGGCATTGAGCAGCTGGCAAGGGAATTACCCTCGTAGTGATGGAAACGTCCTTGCAGGGCAATCACCGTGGCACCCATTAAGGTGCCCACAAACAGTTTACCCTTGTGGTCGTGAATCGTGCAATCTGGAAATTTTGGTATATCCGAATAGTCAATAACAATGGGATTCTCAATCAAGTCGGTCAGCGTATCTAAGTTAGATCCACACACCAAGCCAAACTTGGGTCGTGTTTCTGATCTACTGATTATCAGTTTGGCCATTTTTTCAATATCGTCATAACTATAGATTAAACTTTCGGGCGTTACGATAATATTTTTGGGTTTGGCATTGGCTTCTTCTTCTTGCTGCCGTCGCTGTTCGATCAAAATTTTCATTCGTCGAATCTGCAGCGCAGTCTTGAGGGCGCAACAATCCTTATTGCACATTTTGAATGGACTCTGCCCACAGTTCTGGTCGCGCAGGCCCACAAGAAGCAAATCGTCACAGACTAATAAATTTTACAATTTTTTAATTTAAATGCTCCATCTGGAAATATTTTATTTGAAAGTTAAGGCATGGTTTCTTTTTATTAAACCCAGCACCAATGATAATGTAAAATTTGGCATGATTTATTTTGTCTTTCGACTGGACTCCGGCTCGCTGTGACAAAGCTTAACCCAAGTGATTATGGGCAAAACAATGTTTTGGCAAATTGCGTATTTGATATTATTTTTGTATTGTTATATTATTATTATTGTTGAAAACATTGGGAGAACTTTGGTATAAACTACATTTCAGCGCTGTTGTCGCTTGTTATTTATCTCATCGCATGATTACAATCTTTGGGGTGTTGCTGCGGCATGATCGAAGCCAGCTCAGCAATGTCAATAAATGTTTTACACACACAACCATAGCCGAAGCCAAATAATGGTCAGAGAACGTGACTTTGTAGGCGGCAGAGCGGCGACAACAACCACAATAACAAGAGCAACATTTTTGCTTGTAACTTAGGAAACTTTGCGCGCACTCAAATAACAATAACGAAACGCTGCAAAGTTTTTTATTTCTATTTCAGTTTCAGTTTTTTTTTTTTTATTGCTTGCGTTACTTTGTTATTGTAATATTAATAAATTTATGGACTTTTTATGGCCGCACAGTGCGCATGCCAAACGCTTGAGCGACTCAGATCAGGTACATGCTATATATATATATCGATATGTGTGTGAGTGAATGTGGCTGTGCGTGAGCGTGGGCAGCCTTCAGCCCAACCTAGCTCTCGGCAGTTTCCAGTCGCAGGTCGGGCAGACGCGGCTGTTGACAGATGTGTGCCGAAAACCACATGAAAACAATATTAAATTTGACTTGTGGTCTCTGTTGACAGATTGTTGTTGCGTCGTCTGTTGTTGTTTATTGGTTTACCCTATTAATTAGCAAGGAAATGAATTATAATGGCGTGCACTGGCCAGCAGCCAGCAGTTACTTCGCCAACTTTTCGAATTGTTTACTCCACACAACATGCCATGCAAATGAGGCTGACTTCAAACATAAACATTCTGTGTAAAATTTAGCAACAAGTAACATAACAAATACCATGACTGACATTGAAGCATTGGCAAACGACATTTTCGATGGGTCGTATGAGCGTTTAAATTAAATCACGTATACGTAGCGTAAACAGCTGATTTGTGGCCATAATTATTTCAGATATATACCATGTGCTATATCCCTATCATTGGAAATTATTTGATTAGTTGATGTATGCATGTTGATTTTCGTTAAGTTTCAACTCTGAATTTACATTTTGGTCTGGCACAAATCCTCTTTTGTTTTCGCATGACTCACAATGTAATTAGCACAAAAGCTGCTTATTAAGGTTACACAACAAAAGAGAATATTACATACAGATATATTAAAACATGGTAATATATAAACAGGGCTGAAATAAATAAATGAGGAAATATTAAGCTAAATCGTAATAAATCCAGTGTTAACTTGACCATTGTTGTTTCATTTAATATGAGCAACGATCATATAAAATGGACTAGTATCCAACCATTTGATACTTATACAACTACTCTCTGATTAATTGGAAAGGGTATATGTAAAGCCTAACACATCTCTTCTTTTTGTCTTTTCTTACAGTGTGCGCTGGATATTGTGCAACATACTCAGCGTTGTGAGGGGGAATTCGGCCAGAAGGCAAGCTGAAAACTTTGTTGCCGATACCAATGAAAACCAATGAAAACGGCGACTGCAAATATAGTGTATACGAGTCAAGCACAAACCGAACAGTTGCTAAAGAACAGCTAAAGCGAAGAAAGTTTGGGCCTCGCAGTCATACGTACAAGTGCCTAAATCATAATCCAATTTCGCGACGCATTTATGTGCCACAGACGTGCAACAGGCTCAAGATACTTGAACCGAGTCTTAGTCTCAATCTGAATCTGAATCTAAGCCGCAATTCCTGACCAGAGCCAAGTGCAAACGCAAGTTCAAGTTGTTGTTGTTGACGCGTTTTTTTCCCGTTGTTTTTTCTGTTTATCTTTTTGGCAACAACACCCACCGCGGTGCATGTTTTGTTTTTGTTTTCGATTCGACTGCCTGTTGCACAAAAGCCAGTCGCTGCAGTTGCCTTAATTGCCTCGACAGCCGCAACAATCAACTGACGACGCTATTAAACAATCGAAAACGAAATTCAGCAAGTGAATACTTACTTAAAAACAGAGAAAGAGTGAGAAAGAGAGAAAGACAGTGAGAGAGTGTCCGACGAAGACAGCCGCATAAAGCCAAGTGTAGATTGTGAATGACAACGGGCCAGCTCCTTCAGTTGGTTGCCAACAGCTTGAGCAACCTGGCCCAGTTGCTGACGAGTTTCCTTTTAGCCGAGCACACGGGAGGCACTCTACCTGAAACTGCCGCAACTGGAACCAGGTAACTGGTCTCTGATATTATCAGCGAGTGCAGTCTACCTGGCCACAAATACAATAATACACTCAAACAAACACATATACACACCAATGTACTCGGCTGTTGATTATTACGCGGAAATGGGACAAATCTCACAAGATGTAAGTAGAGCAACCTCAATACTCAATGTCGCAAGTTTTTATATATATATTAATGTAACGATTTTTTGGTAACTTCTACCCATGCAATGGGTATTATAATTTTCCGTAAATTGTGTAACGCATAGAAGGAGACATCACCGACATAAACTATATATATATTCGTTATCAGGTTCAACAGCCGAATCGATTTAGCAATTTCCGTCTGTTTGGCTGTGTGTTTCTATGCGAACTAGTCTCTCAGCTTTAAAGATGAAACTATGCAGATGAGCCTTATTCTGTTGCTAGCAGTACATATATCGGAACCGGCTGGATCGCAGCACTATATCATTTAGCTGCCGTGGGAACGTTCGGTCGAAAAGTGCGTTCTTGTATACAAAACTTTTTTATTTATCAAGATATCGCGACCAAACTCGCCATTTAAAACTGGGTATAATGGTATATTGTATTTGTGCAAAATCCGAATGTATGTAACAGGCAGAAGGAAGCATCTCCGACCACATAAAGTATATATATTCTTAATCAGCACCAATAGCCGAGTCGATCTAGCTATGTCCGTCTGTCTGTCAGTCTGTCTGTCCGTATGTATAAGAGCCAGATCGAGTTTATTTCCGTTAATCGATAACTTACTCCGTTTCCTAGCAATCGATATCGATAAACTGTTTTTTGGGCAATTTTGGTAAATAATAAGAGCTAGACTCAGCAAATTGCCATATAGCTTCTAAAATAGAATATATATGCATTTGATGTTGGAAGAAGAGGGTTTAGGGTATCCCCTAGTCGGGAGCTCCCGACTAGAACCTCTTACTTGTTTTCCTTTAAAATATCACTCTCAATGGTATGTGATTCAACTGTTTTTTTTTTTTTTTGGCAACTGGATTGGTTTCAAAGTAAAGAATTAATTAAAATTCCGAGTTTGAACACGTTCGGTTCAAACTCGGATTACAGGCATTCTCGCAATTAGGTCTAGCCATTATCGACATATCGACTTTTGTCATAATTTGATGATTATTGCCAACGGATGTGAGCATAACTGGGTGCAACAAAAACGTTGCCACTTTTTGTTGCATAATGAAATAGGAGAACGTGGTACGTGGAAATCGATTAAATGACTGTAAGGGATATCAACATCATTCGAAATGAGCTGCCGCCTGGTTGTTGGTCTTCGTGTAATTTATGCACTAATTGAATTTTTGCAGATAGCTGCGGGCTACTTTTTGTGCACAATTTGTGGTTACACATATCCCCACACCCCTCCCCGCGCACACACAGTTGGCTGTGCAGTAAGAGTCGAGTTTTGGTTCGGTGGATTGGATTGAAAAGTCTAGACTAATTAGAGAAATATGTTCCATATCATATTATAATTGAAGTTAAATTAATTAATTTGGTAAACCCCTCCTTTTCCATATGCTATATACATTTAAATATCCAAGTAACGTAAGGTAAGCAGAAAAATAAATACCACATGCACATCCTCCGTAGAAGGCTTAATATGTAACTGTGAATATATATAAATATATATAAGTAGCATAAAAGAGTATTCCACATGTGCTTTTCATGAGACCGACAACAAATAGTTGTTGGACAATGGAGGATTCTCATTCATCCAACAACGGAAAGTTGTAGTATATGAAAACTTTTTTTTTTTAGAAAAGGAACGAGCATGGTAACATGATTACAAATGCGCAATTTCTACGTTGTTGCTTTCGGCTGGAAGAATTTTTGGGAGCTCGTCAGGCTTTGATAAGCCGCAGAAAACTACTAAATGATTCAGCACTTATTATTTTTATTATTTTTATATTTTTTGGCACATACCAAAATAATATAAGCGATAACAAAGCACTTTTGCTGCTAGAACTGTAAACAAAATATTTTGTATGCACATTTGCTCATAAATAGCACCGAAATTGGGTCATCTAATCTGTTTTTTGCTGCACATACCCTTATAAATATATACAATTTTAAACTTAATTGAATTAAATAAACATTTTCCGTTTGTATCACAGTTAAATGCAATTTGAAACTAAAAAGGGATTTTAAGTAAAGTTTAAAATTCGATAATCGATAACGCGCAGATTAGTCACTAGTAAACGCACAACGAGACGGGCAGCATGCAGGCTATTTTACATTTGATATAAATGAATACTGTATAAAAATACGCTAACATGAGCAACAATATTAAATAAACAGATGTGCGCCATTCGGATTCTGGCAACAGTCCAAAAGGCTTTTGCCTCTAGGGTGAGTGACAGAATCACGACATGACATACTGACTGACTGAGGGACAGCCTTACTGAGTAAGCGAATGATGCAGCTCTTTATAGCCATACTGACTGACTGACTGATTGATGGTCTGACTGACTAAGAAATTGAGCAGTGCAGATCTTCTAATGCAACTGACTGACTACTGACTATCTGACGGACTGATTAACTGTCTGACTCTCTGATGGGCTGACTGACTGATTTACTGAGTGACTGTCTAAGAAAGCGAAAAATGCTGTTCTGCTTATACACACTGATTGACTGACTGACCATTTGGCCAATTGACTGTCTAGCTGATTAACTGAGTGTGTTCATCATATAATTTTTGGGTCCAATTTGGCGATGCCTTTCGAAATAGCAACATTTTCAACATTTTATTTAATAATTTGTGCAATTTAATTGCCAGCATTTCACAGATGCGGAAGTCAGGCTAAACATAGATTATTATAATGTAATGTGGTTGCTGCTGCGACATGTTTAAAGTGTATCTGTTATTTTTGCATATTTCTTAAATTTGTAAACTTGTGAAATACTATAGAAATATGTGTCTTGGAATGGCAAAAAACGGCATGTGCGAGCCATTTATTCAGCTATTCCATAAGAGATAAAGACTATATGAATATTTGAATTTATATTTTAATTAATTGTTCTAATATATAACTTTTTTGAAGACTCATAAATGCCAAAGAAGTATTTCTAATGGATTCTAGAACAATAATAATAAGTAAACAAGTTATATTTGTTTTTTTTTTTATACCGTGAACCCATTAAAAATGGGTATAAGGGTATATTGTATTTGTGCAAAATCCAAATGTAGTAACAGGCAGAAGGAAGCATCTCCGACCACATAAAGTATATATATTCTTAATCAGCACCAATAGCCGAGTCGATCTAGCTATGTCCGTCTGTCTGTCAGTCTGTCTGTCCGTATGTATGAACGCAAGGATCTCGGAATTTATAAGAGCTAGAGACTTGAAATGTTAGATGTAGGTGCTCCTAGTGCCCGCGATCGAGTTTGTTTCCGATAATCGATAACTTACACCGTTTCCAAGCAATCGATATCGATAAACTGTTTTTTGGGCAATTTTGGTAAACAATAAGAGCTAGAGTCACCAAACATGATATGTTGCTTCTAGAATAGCATATATATGCATTTGATGTTGGAATAAGAGGGTTCAGGGTATCCACTAGTCGGGAGCTCCCGACTAGAATCTCTTACTTGTTTTTATTACATTTAAGCAAAGTTTATTCAACCTAAGATTCATATTTAGTTAACTCATTTAGTTGGAGTGACACACTATGTGCCATTTACCAGACTTTTCTCGAGTTATTATCAATAATATAGGTAGAAGGAAATATCAATTATGGCAATATGTGTGTTCTGTGCCATCTTATCAATAATTGTTATCAGGCCAAGGAGCAGCTCAGTCGTCGCTGACTTAGTTGTCTGACAGTTTATTGTTGTTGTCGTTACAAGCGATAATGTGCACCTAATAATTTGCCACACTTGCCACAGAGTCTGTTTGGTTGTCATGTCTTTGTGTTTGCATTGCTATTGTTTTGCCTTTAGAGCTTCGATTGTTGGCACTTTATCAGTAGACAAAGTGTCGCACTGAGTGCCAGAGAAGCGTGTGGAAAAGTCCAGGACCAGAGTCACGCCAGCACACACGCACACACACACACACACACACGCGCGCACATAGAGGTTGGTCAATATTGCCATTTGACAGACACTTGCAAACATGTGCACATTTTACAGTACTTACTCACTCTGGGAATGAGTGTACTCATAACTCATAGAAACTCGGAAAAACTCAAATGGAGTAGTCATATTCTGCATGCGTTGCAAAATATAAAAAAAATGCGACTCGACTATGTAAAACGATACGAAAAACAAAAGATAAACAAAGATAACAAAGTGCAGAATGGGATTTCATGTATACCTTATCAAGTTTTCATGAATGCTATTTTGTGGCTGTTGCTTGACATAAGAAAAACGAACAAAAACCTAAATCAACAATAAAATGAATCAACTTTGTAGACAGACATGTAGGACGGGTACGCAAAACGCAGCAATAAGTGTGCTGCAGTTGATTAATTTAATATGTAACTGATAATATAATACTTATAATGAAGTAGAAAATGAGAAATTTCTCATATTGCAGCTGGCATTGTTCTCTCTGGCTCTCTCGCAATGTAAAACACAAATATAAACAGCCATAATATATATATATATATATATATATATATTAAATGTATGTATATATTTATATTTGTGTGATTATATACGTAGACATAAGCACATAAATATGTAAATAAACCTAAATTAATATGCTAAGCTGTGAGTGCAAACTTAAAAATCCACTTATTAGTATATACACTTATGAGTTTATAGTTTATCACGTCTAGACGCGCGTCTTTATTAGCTACGCATACACGCAAGTGCACAACAAATAGTTTATAATGCAGGCACTGTTGCCGCTAATAGACACACAGATACACATAAACCTACATACACACACACACACATACACACACAGTATATATATAGAAAGGTTTCTATATCAATTGTTTTCGTGTAAGCTGTGGAAAAATGCTCTCAAGTTGTTTATTTTGTACCATTATTTTTTGTACTATTATTTTTTTTATATCGCTTGCATACACCTATTTAGTTTACATTTCTAACACCTGCCGTTTTTTCCACTTTAGTTGTTTACCGACCTATTCACCCAACTACCTATCTACCTATCCTCCTAGCTACCTACTTATTGTTTGTTATTTCTCTTTTTGAGCCGTCTACCATTTATGCTAATTTATTTGCTTGTTTACCAGCTTTTGTTTTAATTTGTTGAGGCCACTACTGTTGACATTTGAAGCGAAACCCCTGCGAGTTGAACAGCGGGCGGGCGGGACTTTTAAAAACGCGCCCACACAACAACAAAAAATAAAATAAAAAAGTAGAATAAAAAGCAAAACAATAAATATGAAAATTCAAGACAAAAGAGCCAAGTGAAAACCGCAGCAACGCAGATATAGAATGTCTGAAAAACATAAGTAAATCAAGCTGTCAGAAATGCAAGGGTATTACACTCTTTGTCTTTTGCTAATTATGCTAATTTTGTGTATAATTTAGTTTAATTTTGTTTTGTTGTAATTCCGTCCCATTAAATGCGCTTTTCTGCTCCCATGTAAGGTTATATATATTTTAAAGAGGAAATCAAAATTTGCTTACAATAATTAATTACCCGCATTAACATAAGCTCGAGGGGCGTAAACAGAGCAACAATGTGCGCAAATATTGTGGGTAAACTGACAGCTGGCACTGTGAACATCACGTATGCCCGCCATCACCTTCCTCTGACACTAGCTCAGCCTTTAAATCGCTACGCTTCCCGCCAAAGTGACCGCTTAAAGTTTACTCAGAAAACAGAATAAAGTATATTTAATATACTCACGGCTCTACTAATTTCGTTTGTTATTGTCTGGGCTGTCATTATGGCAAGTCAAAAATTGTCGAACAGCCCCTTCTGGACTGAAAACTTGTTGCCTGCCCTTGCCCAAAGTATCACTTGTTATGCTTTGCAGCTGGCATTACTTAAAGTCCACTCAATTATGCTCAAATTTATGCATGAATGCATAAGCATGGGCCTGGGCTCGAGTTTCAGTTTTCAGTTGGGTTTGGTTGAGAACACAACAAATTTAATGTGTGTAGCGATATATTATGCTCGGTCACGATTTACAGGCACAAACACACACACATATATATAGTTTAAGATCTGCTTCCTCTAACGTCTTGCTGACCTCGATTTAATGTTTAAGGTTTCGTATTTTTTTGTTGTTTAGTTATGAAATCGAAAAAAAATCATTATTTAGCATATGCTTTGAGGACTGATAACTATATTCAATCAATATGATGAGCGACTGTCAACAGAACCAAGTTAGCTGGATTTGACGTGTAGTTGGAGGCGAATTGAAAGACCCGTCCTCTCAATTCCCAAGCGAAATTAAGGGTGACAAAGTGCATCCACCATCGCCCCACACACAATGGGCAGCAAAAACCTTGGTATATCGCGTATACGCCTTACTGACGAACGAGTTTATAGTCGAAAGCAACAGAAAGAAAACTTCAATTAAGAGCACAATACGCGAATGTAATCGAACAGGAGATACCCTATTATAATGTCAGTGTAAGTTTCAAGTTGACAATGAAACTGGACATAAAAAGCCAGTTTTCATGAGCGCAGCACACATATCCATTAAACTTGGCCTAAGCAGCTTCGTTTGTGCCCACTCCTGTGCTGGCCATGTAATCCACTTTGTGAGACCAACTGGTCCCCGGCTCAATGTAAGTTGTGCCCGTATGCCAAAGTCGAAGCGGTTTGCTTCACAAACGGGTTTCTCTCTGTCAGCAGAGCTGGTGAGCGAGCAAATTTTTATTTCATACCCTCCACTTTCTTGACTGAACGCTTTTGAAAAGTTTTCCTAAATAAATAAAGACAACAGCGAAAATGTAAGCGCAATATTTTCCATAATTTATACTCAATTGACTGACATTAATTAATTATAATTTGTGTCTTACACAATTTGTCAACGTTTTTATCTTATTCCGAGCGAAGCGCGAAAAAGTCTGTCAAGTTTTGCCCTGGCGCCACCAAGCGAAGAGCTGCCAATTAAAATGTTGAAAAAAAAGACAAATGCAAATAAAAAACAAAAACAACAAACAAACAACAAGAGTCGACTTTTAACTGGTAGCTGTAATTAGTTAATACACTCGTTCACCATATGAAAAAAGAGTTTATTAGTTTTGTGTAAGACTTAAGAAGTAGAGAGACCAATGGATGGGCGCTTTAAAAAATAATTTCAAAATATTTTGTGTACGACTACAGGGGGCGGAGTTAAATTCCATATCTCAAACCAATTTGAAGGACAGAAAATTATGCAGCCGGCTTAGCCCGACCGAAAATTGTGGCATGTTTAATTTGGTTTTTTTATGCGCGTTCCAACGACAATTTCTCTACTGGAAAACTTTGGCATTATTTATCTCCAGTTTTTGCGATTCGATTATAAACAGTTCAAGTTGTGGCATTTAATTTGCCCAAAAATAGTTGATTTCTCAAATTAGCAAAAAAAGCAAAGTAAACTATTTACATATGAATTTAAATATTTGGCTACGCTTTGTGGAGCCCCATCAATTTGTATGTGAATAGTTGACCATAAATCACACTGATTAATGGCATATCTTGTATATGTTTAGTTCAGCTCTTGTTAATTCAGACGCTGGCTACCAACAATATGAATCTCGACATTAAACCGAACTAATTATGTAAAAGTGATGGCATTTTACAAGAAGTGGATGGCAAGTATTACACAGAGATATAGGCATCAACCTATGATTTATTTAACATTGACATAGGCATTCAAGAGGACCTTAATTATGTTAAATGAGCAACTTGTCATATTTATTTATAATATTTGGATGTTATTTAACAACTGGCTGCAAGTGGCTACAAAATAACCAAACATCAATAGAACAAATAAATGTATTGTAAAACATTTCCATTTATCTGTGGGTGTGCTTCAATGTCAAACAACTTCAAGTAGACAACAGGGTACGAGATTTTAAAAAAAATTTTATTGAACCGCTTGCCAAAAATGGCATGATTACTTTTAGAATAAGGCTGTGTATGTGTGGGCGTATTAAGGTCGTGATATATAAGTAAATTGTTTAGGTTAAATGTTAGCAACTACTAGGCGATTTTTAATTTAGCATCGAATTCGGATAGGCAAGCTCATATATGATATATATATACGATAAGCGGCTGGCTGATTGTAGGCATGTGTGGTCTATAAGTAGACGTTGCGCTATCAAGAATCAACAGGCGACTTAGTCAGACTACAAAGAAATGAGAAGAAAAAACCAACAAATAACAACTAACAAAAAAAGTCATTGAACGTTTAATAACATCGCCCCAGTTTAGTAGGCAGCCGCATAAACAACAACAGAAATCAAGTAAGCGGCTCTAGTCGGGTGTTCCCGACGAGCGGATACTCTGAACCCTTTACCAACAACTAATACAATATTTGCATCAAACGTTTTCTTAAATAACTTTTATGTTTCTTAACCGATCTTGATGAAATGTTGAAGAATAGATCCCATTATGCTACACAATAAATATATATTGAAATATCTTGATCTAAAGACAAAGATTTGCTCAAAAAACACGATTTCAATATCTATTTTAATCGATTACTTGGAAACGGTGCAAGTAATCGATTATCAGAAGCAAAATCGTGCTGCGCGAGCAGTAGGCGGACGTACGTCTCAAATTTCAAGTCTCTGGTCCTTTAAGGTCAGAGTTTGATGGACGGATGGAAAGACGGACGGACAGACGCACGGACGGACAGACGGACATGCCTAGATCGACTTGGTGTTTGATGCTGATAAAGAATATTTATACTGTTAAATACATTCACACAAATACATTATAACCCTTTTACTTATTTTTATGGGTTCGGGGTATAAAATGAAAAAAACAAGAAAATGAAAAAAAAGCCAACAACAAAACAACTTTGATTAACATTTTACAGTCACTCAGACAGTCAGTCAGTCAGTGGAGCTGTAGCTGTGGCTGACTTAAGTAAGCAGCACGCAGACACCGATAAAAGTATAGAAAATGCTGCTGGAAACGCATAAACATGTGTTGTTTAATGATCGAGCTTATATATATATATATACTAGATACACTACTAAATAACAACAAGAGCTGCTTTTGTGCTGTATTTGTTTACTGGCAACTTCAAAGAGCTCCTCCACTCTGCGGGTATCTGCTGTGAGTCCCAGTTCATTGCGATAATATTAATAAATACTCTGCTTAAACATTTGTCCAGTCGTTTTTATGAATACGAGCGCAGAGAGTCAGGTCCATTCAATTTGCCAATCAGCTTTAGTGGCTTGTTGCCTTCTGTCCTTCTGTCCGCGCCTCTGTAATAGAATGCAATATGCGAAGCAATATACACAATTCCTTTGCCTTTGCCTGCGCCCTTGCCTTTACCTTTGGTCCCACTAAAAGCGCATTACTCATATATCTGAGCAGAATGCATTCAGTGGACTCTACGTCAGTTTTCCATGGTAACTGTTTACTGATTGGCAATGCGAAGGATCCAATAAAGTGGCTCATTGCAAATGACTATTTGCGCTTAATGTTCACAAAATGACAAGCGCACAGGATATCAATATGATACCCAAGTCAATTGTCATTTCATAACGAATATTGCTTAATTAAAAAGTTTTATTTGATATGAATGTTATATATATTTGGTATTTGCAAACATTACAGTCCTAACTAACATTAAACAAAGTATTTTTTAATTATGTTTGCCTTAATAAATATATTTAATAAAATGTAACGCGACACGCAACGTATGCGCGATATATGAGTATTAAGTATACGCTTGCTTTTTATAATAATTGGTTATTTAATACTATCAATCACTTTTTTCTTATTTTTTCAGTGCTCGTCCACAGATTTTGATATGGATGATCTCGATGAATGCGATCAGGTGACACAAGTGATTGGCTATCATCCACTTTATCGTGATCATTTTCTGCGTACGCAGAACTTTATTATGAAAGGTGATGGACCCTTACCATATGCTTATAGATACTATTTGGCCATAATTGTGAGTAGTTTTATTTTGCCTAAATTATTATAGTTGATTTCGCTTTAATTGGCAACCTCTATTGTTTAATAATACTTAAGTATTGTTGCCGAGCTTTGTTCCTTTCCTTGGTGCTTTTCATCATATTTCCGACTGCCAGAGCATGTCTAAGGGTATGTGACTGCGGGTGCGGGTGTATCTGCGTGTCTTTGTATCTGCATCTGTGCCTCTGCTTCTGTGCTCGTGCGGTTGCGAGTGGTTGCAATGTGCATTGTTGCCACTGGCAAATTTAAGCACATTAGCTCTCGCCGACTGGCGTTGTCGGCTCACATTTGCTGCTTGTTGGCTGTTGATGCCCTATCAATGACAGCAGCTTCCACACATACACACACACACACACACACACACACACACACACACACACACACACACACACACACACACACACACACACATATATATATATATATATATATATATATATATATATATATATATATATATATATGTATATATATATATATTTATATACACTAGAACAAGTTACACATTGGGGAATCAACAATAGGAAATTATTTCCACTGTTATGAGCTCTCAGCTGTGCAGTGAGAAATGCTGTTAGCTTTAAGCTATTTGTTATACCTGCAACCGCAGGGTGGAAGCGAACACATGTTACAAGAATAGAAATTGTTGACGGAGCTATTGACAATGGACGGTGGACGGTGGGCGGCAGTTATGCGGCAGGTGATACAAAACCTAATTGGCCAAAACAATAGAAAAGTTTAAACAAACAGGTTTACTAATAACAGCTGACAGCATTTATATTCATGCAATTCGTTGCAACCAGGTGTCAGCTAGGAACCTTAAGGCCCCAATGGCTTTAGTTTTAAATGGAATTAAATAATTGAATTAATCCCTGAAAAACGCCTTAAAACATGAGCTTATTAGAGAAAATTAATGGAGCGAGAGTTGAATTAACCGATGTTTCGTTGATCCTGTGTCCATTTATGAATAATATAAAAAAATTTATAACTAGATTATGACTTGGGACATCATACGACAAATTAATTTTCACAAAGGCATTAGGAAAAGTTCTGTGTGGCAAAACAGGCAAACAGACCACCTGTAAATAAAATATATACCCATTTGGGCAAAGCTTCTTGGGAAAAATAAAGCCTTTCAGTTGTGCTCTACACACACACACATGTGCACATACTTAAGAATGTTTTTAAAGTTTATGTTTTTTTTTGTAAAGCTGCTTTGTGCACCAAGAAGTAAAGTCATTTTGTGCATTAAAGTTGCTTTTAAAGCTAATCCACAGGTATATTAAGAGGCAGTTCAAAGTTTTTGTTATAAGAAACATTTACTTGGCGGAAAATTTTGATTAAATTGAAAAACAAAATACAACGGTGGAAAAGTTAAAAATAGAAAAATTTGTTTGAACAACATCGTAATTTAAATTGATTTATGGCGTACTTAATTTCAGTTTTTCACTGACTGCAACAACAATTTGAATGTGAATGTGAATGGAGGCCCCAATGCGAATTATACGCCCACCCACACACTTTACGCACACTTACGCACGCTTTTAGATAATAAAATGGTAACTGTAAAGTTTAGTGCCCAAGTTTTTTCCAATGCAATTTTCTTTGCATGATCTATTTATTTCATTTTTGTTATTGTTTTTCCTTTTTTTTGTCGACTACAAAAATATGTTACGAGCAATTCAGTGCATTTTTTTTAATTAACGATCCAACTGCATTTGGGTACAGCCACTGACTATAGCTAATAAATGGATTTTCCGGCCATTCTGAATTCAACCGCAAATATTTTCGAAATTTTGCCTTGCAGAGACTACAAAATGTGTTTATTTCAAATAAAATTTTCCTACGTCTCTTATACGTGTAGATGTGTGCAATAATCATAAACAAGATAAGATATGATTATTTTGGTTCTGGGTCTTTGACTTTTTATTGTGCTGAAAATAATAGACACATTCATTTAACTCATTCCCGCAAAATTTGAGCCAATATAGCAGCTATATATGTCGGGCTACTTAATGTTGCATTTCATAATGTAAAATATTGGCAGATTTATAACTGCATGGCATGATGACATGATGGTACCGTGAAGCCCCATGGATGACGCAGCAACAAATAATACGTGTAAAACAAAAGCGAAAACATTGGCCTGCGTTTCGAATATTTGTATTCGTCGTATTTTGGGTCACACACAGATATACATACACACTCTCACATACAACGAATCTCATATTTTTAGCACATTTTCAGGTGTAGATGCTCTCCCAGGCGCTTTTAATGGGGTCCGAGGGTATCTGGGAATCTATAGAGCGCGGCATGGGATCTTTTTATTGTCAAAAAATTGTTTGCTTTATATTTCGATGCGACTTACAGTTGAAAACTGATTAAAATGGATTATTCTCTGATTAATTTTTAGGCAGCCGCACGCCATCAATGCCCCTATCTGGTAAAACGCTACGAGAAGGAGTTCATTAATCAGGGCGGCAACAGTGAATGGCTAAATGGACTGGACTATATACCCGCCAAATTACGTGCCATATACGATATAAATAAAATATTAGCCCATCGTCCCTGGCTGTTGCGCAAGGAGCATATCGAGGTATGGATAGGACGCACAGCTCTCTATAAATCTTTAATGATTGTTTTGCATTTGCAGCGTCTGACCAAGGGCAGGAGCAGCTGGTCCCTGTCGGAGGTAGTACACGCAATGGTATTGCTATCGCATTTCCATTCGCTCTCCTCGTTTGTGTTCTCCTGCGGTCTAACACAAAAGCTCGATGGTTTGTCTAGTCCCAAATTAAAAGGTGCGCCTGTGTCAATGCCGCCGCAGTCACCGCCGTTGCCGCCGGTCGATGATGCACGTCAGCCAACAACCAGTCCCATTAACCAACAGCAGCAGCAGCAGCAGCAGAAAAATGTTCTTGGCGAGATATCACTGAACAGCAGCAGCGCCGGCGGTGGCAACAATACAAAGCAAGATTACAACAATACAATGGACAATAACAATAGCCGCAGCACTGGAGCCAACAACAATTTTGGCCAACACTATTTGGGTAAGAGCTCAACAGTTTTCCTCGCGGAGCCGAAGGGCAAATACCCAAGCCTAAAAGCTGAGCGGCAGACAGGCAGATAAACATGGCCATAAAAACCATTTAATGTGGTCAGAGCTCAACAAAGTTCCTCAGAAAATTATATTCTCGAAGTTTGCATAAATAATACTATATTTTCAGTTGAACTTCGTTTAAAATTAACGTTTTTCATTTGATAGAAATTTGATAAAATCATACATGATTTTTCTGGGTGCAAATTTGACTTGATAATCCTGATATAAATGTTGCTTCCGAATTGCAGCCACCGCAGAGCTGCAGCCACAGCATCAATGTGCCATTTCTGTGGAGGCATTGATGGAGCGCATGAAGGTGCTCTCCCAGAACCAGGACGAGTGCAGCGAGGCCGAGCTAAGTAATCGCTTTAAGAGCGTTGAGCTGCAGACCGCAGAGCTGGCAGCAGCTTCTCCCGAGGTTGCTGTTGCACTGCCGCCAATAATCTCGCACTACGTGGACGATGCCAGCTTCACGTACCAGGACTTTGCTCGCCGTGGTGCCGAGAATATTAACACATTTCGCATTCAGGACTATTCTTGGGAGGATCATGGCTATTCTCTAGTGGATGGGTGGGTGACAGCAAAGAACAAGTTTTTAAACTCTGTTTTATTCTTCCTTTTCATTCTTTGCATGACCTGTGAGCAGCTTGTACAACGATGTGGGCACTTTTTTGGACGAAAAGTTTCGCGCTGCCTACAACTTGACGTACTTTACAATGGGCGGCATTAAGAATGTAGATACATCGAAGTTTCGTCGGGCCATTTGGAATTACATACAGTGCATATTTGGCATACGTCACGATGACTACGACTACGGTGAAGTTAACCAGGTGAGTGCACACATTATAGGTCTTTTTTTTTTTTTTTTTTTATTTATTTTTGATTATCGTCAGCTGCTCGTGCGCCCGTTGAAAATGTTTATAAAGACAGCCTGCTGCTTTCCGGAGCGCATTACCACCAAGGATTATGATAGTGTGCTCGTGGAGCTGCAGGATAGTGAAAAGGTGATTAAGGACTAAAAGACGGACGCTTTTTGGTTACGATAACTTTTTTTTTTGTATCTTCTCCACTGCCTGCAGGTTCATGTTAATCTAATGATCATGGAAGCCCGTAACCAGGCCGAATTACTCTATGCTTTGCGCGAGATTATGCGCTATATGACTTGATCTCATTAAGTGATTAAAGATATATATACAAATACATACACATAACTAAAAACAATCAAAAACACGCATGCATACATCATATAGTTACCACTATATATATATTAAAGGCTCCACATAGAGAGTTGATGACGAGTTTTTAATTTTACAAGAGCATTAAAGAACAGAATTAAATGAAAAAAAAACAGACCCGATAAAAAGTAGTTGCAATAGATCCCACTGAAATTTGTGTCAATGTGTCAATCAATGTATGTCTCATCTATATATATAGTATAGTCTAATCAAATTCGTCAATGTCTACTTTTTGTGAATGAAATTAGAAATATACTACAGCTGTTTATAATATTACCTGTTGCACTAACAAAAGCAGAAGTAAGAGATAAACAAGTGTGTAGTAGTATATGGCCATTGGGCCTCATTTGAACTCAATGTTTAAGAATTTGGCAATGATTGAATCTACGGATTGTGGTTTTCTGTTTCCTTAAAATGCTTGCAGCAATCACTGTACATATGTATTATGTTTTGTTAAACATTTTAGTAAAAAAAATACATTTTTATTTTAATTACAATTTGTTTAATTTTTTTATTTTTGCATCGATAAAGTCTTTGCGCTTTTCTTCAAAAGACATAAATAACTGTTATATTTTAAAAGTATTTAAAATAAGAATTTGAGGTTATATGTCCTGACTGTAATGTGAAAGGCGCATCTAAAAATTATTTAGACATGAAATGTCTATACCTATGTACTTGTATAATCATAATCCCAAGGTATGTATTAAATTGTAATTAAAAAATATATATTTATATGGAGAGCATATAGAACTTATGAAACAAGAGTATCAACTCAATAATTTAAGTATCTAAAAATAAACATGAAACACGTTTGTTTCTTGTAAAGTGAAAATTTTAAATTCCTTTAACGCTTATACCAAAATGAAAACTTGCTAAATTCACAAAATATTTTATTGTTATATGCACACATTGTTGTATACAGGGCTAACATACAATATATAAAGTTTTAAAAATAATTAGAATAGACTCTACCAAATATTTAATGGTAATTAGCCATCATCATTCGAACATTCGAAGAGAAATATTGAATTTAGGTAGTTGACTTTTAGTATTTATACTAATATTCACATATACATTAACAGACGACGAAAAGTTGGATATCTTTGTTTAACCATGAAAGAGTTTCTATTGCTATTTTGCTCCTATAGTCAAAAATTTGGCTCACAGGTAGAATATCAAGGTTTGCTGAACGATATATAGCATGGAGCTTAACTTCGTCTTTGCCATATTACGTGAATGTTTTAAAATATCTGAAATAATTAGTAGAATTAGCTATCACATAAGTGTATAAAGACAAAGAAAACGAATGTTTTAAACAGGTTTCCTGATAACGAATACATAAGTTATATACGAATAACCTAAATATAAAGCTTAACGTAGTTTAATGCGAGTTAGCACCGCTTGTACATAAAGCTAACGAGCTATATAGCATTCAAAGATGTGATTTTAACAAATATATATACGTAAACGTATACCCTTGCATATAAATAGTTATACAAAATGGGGATATATATATTTGACATAGATATATGTAGATAATACTTTTGCAAATAGGAACTTCGATTTCATTGTCTCATTTTTTTCTATGATTTTGATAAATGGAACGAACAGTGCAACTCATAGGTGAAAAATGCTCGTATGTCTGTTTATTATTGTATTTACAAAGCTCAAAATATGCGAGAAGGCTGTTAAACTACTTATTAGGTTACGAAAATAGGATAATCAATATAAATAAATCTTTACGTCTGATTAACTTTGTGACTGTTTGCTTAGGACTTCCGTAATTGTAAAAACTACTGTATCTAAGGGGTGTATCACTCAGAAATCGGACTGTATTTATTTAATTTCTTTTTTATTTTAATAAGGAAATTATGGGCAAGTCTTAAGTCTTTTTCCATCTCAGAAGCTCGGCCAAATAAAGCCCGATAGAGGGCAGATTGGGAGAAGATACTCGCGTAGGTGCCACCAAGAATCCACCAAGATCAACGAGTTATGTCGCTTTGAAACGTCATATCATGCGTGGCCGCATGTTGATGTCTTAGCTATGTCGCATCAAAACGACATAACTCCGCCGTTGATCATGGCGAGATCATGTCGTTAGAATGCAGATTTTTGGGTGGCAATCGATGGTCGGCATCCGTACGAGTAGAAAGTGGTATATCATTCCGAAATCGGACTTTATTTAGCCGAGTTATGTGCATTTTATTATTTAATCAAATTTTTCTGCAATGAGCCATTGTGAATAGGTGTTATGTGATCAGCTCGAAAATATGCAATGCTTTGCTTTAGTTCTTCGTGCACAACCACACGATTTTTTTTGGTATATTTATATGGCTATATCTCGGCCAAATAAAGCCCGATAGGGTCCAAAAAGAGATGGGCTACTCGGGGAGGTCCGTAGAAACCGCCAAGATCGACGGCGAGGTTATGTCGCTTTGAAACGTCATATCTCCATGATTTTTGTTAGATCGGCGGAGCTATGTCGCTTTAAAACGACATAACTCCGCCGTTGATCATGGCGAGATCATGTCGTTAGAATGCGGATTTTTGGGTGGCAATCGATGGTCGGCATCCGTATGAGTAGAAAGTGGTATATCATTCCGAAATCGGACTGAATTAAGCCGAGTTTTTTTCATCATATTATTTTATCCAATTTTTCTGCAATGTGCCATTGTGAATAGGTGTTATGTGATCAGCTCGAAAATATGCCATGCTTTAGTTCTTTGTGCACAACCACACGAATTTTTTTGGTAAACTTTAAATGATCTCAGCCAAATAAAGCCCGATAGGGGCCAAAAAGGGAGGGGCTACTCGGGGAAGTTCATAGAATCCGCCAAGATCGACGGCGAAGTTATGTCGCTATGAAACGTCATATCTCCATGATTTTTTTAGATCGGCCGAGCTATATCGCTTCAAGGCGACATAACTCCGCCGTTGATGATGGCGAGATCATGTCGTTAGAATGCGGATTTTTGGGTGGCAATCGATGGTCGGCATCCGTACGAGTAGAAAGTGGTATATCATTCCCAAATCGGTCTGTATTTAGCCGAGTTATTTGCAGATCGACGGCGAAGTTATGTCGCTTTGAAACGTCATATCTCCATGATTTTCGCTCCATGATGTCGCTCCATGATGTCGCTTCAAGGCGACATAACTCCGCCGTTGATCATGGCGAGATCATATCGTTAGAATGCGGATTTTTAGGTGGCAATCGATGGTTGGCATCCGTACGAGTAGAAAGTGGTATATCATTCCGAAATCGGACTGAATTTAGCCGAGTTTTTTGCATTATATTATTTTATCAAATTTTTCTGCATTGTGCCATTGTCAATAGGTGTTATGTGATCAGCTCGAAAATATGCCATGCTTTAGTTCTTTGTGCACAACCACACGAATTTTTTTGGTAAACTTTAAATGATCTCGGCCAAATAAAGCCCGATAAGGGCCAAAAAGGGAGGGGCTACTCGGGGAAGTCCATAGAATCCGCCAAGATCGTCGGCGAAGTTATGTCGCTATGAAACGTCATATCTCCATGATTGTTTTTTAGATCGGCGGAGCTATGTCGCTTCAAGGCGACATAACTCCGCCGTTGATGATGGCGAGATCATGTCGTTAGAATGCGGATTTTTGGGTGGCAATCGAAGGTCGGCATCCGTACGAGTAGAAAGTGGTATATCATTCCGAAATCGGTCTGTATTTAGCCGAGTTATTTGCAGATCGACGGCGAAGCTATGTCGCTTTGAAACGTCATATCTCCATGATTTTTTTAGATCGGCGGAGCTATGTCGCTTTAAAACGACATAACTCCGCCGTTGATCATGGCGAGATCCTGTCGTTAGAATGCGGATTTTTGGGTGGCAATCGATGGTCGGCATCCGTATGAGTAGAAAGTGGTATATCATTCCGAAATCGGACTGAATTTAGCCGAGTTTTTTGCATTATATTATTTTATCAAATTTTTCTGCAATGTGCCATTGTGAATAGATGTTATGTGATCAGCACGAAAATATGCCATGCTTTAGTTCTTTGTGCACAACCACACGAATTTTTTTGGTAAACTTTAAATGATCTCGGCTAAATAAAGCCCGATAGGGGCCAAAAAGGGAGGGGCTACTCGGGGAAGTCCATAGAATCCGCCAAGATCGACGGTGAAGTTATGTCGCTTTGAAACGTCATATCTCCATGATTTTTGGGTGGCAATCGATGGTCGGCATCCGTACGAGTAGAAAGTGGTATATCATTCCGAAATCGGACTGAATTAAGCCGAGTTTTTTGCATTTTATTATTTTATCAAATTTTTCTGCAATGTGCCATTGTGAATAGGTGTTATGTGATCAGCTCGAAAATATGCCATGCTTTAGTTCTTTGTGCACAACCACACGAATTTTTTTGGTAAAATTTAAATGATCTCGGCCAAATAAAGCCCGATAGGGGCCAAAAAGGGAGGGGTACTCGGGGAAGTCCATAGAATCCGCCAAGATCGACGGCGACGTTATGTCGCTTTGAAACGTCATATCTCCATGATTTTTTAGATCGGCGGAGCTATGTCGCTTCAAAACGACATAACTCCGCCGTTGATCATGGCGAGATCATGTCGTTAGAATGCGGATTTTTGGGTGGCAATCGATGGTCGGCATCCGTACGAGTAGAAAGTGGTATATCATTCCGAAATCGCTCTGTATTTAGCCGAGTTATTTGCAGACCGACGGCGAAGTTATGCCGCTTTGAAACGTCATATCTCCATGATTTTTTTAGATCGGCGGAGCTGTGTCGCTTCAAAACGACATAACTCCGCCGTTGATCATGGCGAGATCATGTCGTTAGAATGCGGATTTTTGGGTGGCAATCGATGGTCGGCAGCCGTACGAGTAGAAAGTGGTATATCATTCCGAAATCGGACTGAATTAAGCCGAGTTTTTTGCATTTTATTATTTTATCAAATTTATCTGCAATGTGCCGTTGTGAATAGGTGTTATGTGATCAGCTCGAAAATATGCAATGGCTTGCTTTAGTTCTTTGTGCACAACCACACGAATTTTTTTGGTAAACTTTAAATGATCTCGGCCAAAGGAGGAAGTGCGTAAGGAAGTGCGCTTTGAAACGACATATCTCCATGATACTTTTAGATCGGCGGAGCTATGTCGCTTCAAAACGACATAACTCCGCAGTTGATCATGGCGAGATCATGTCGTTAGAATGCGGATTTTTGGGTGGCAATCGATGGTCGGCATCCGTACGAGTAGAAAGTGGTATATCATTCCGAAATCGAACTGAAT